AGCAGCAGAGTGCGCGCACTTAACCGCTAAGCCACGGGGCCGGCCCCACAAAAATAATTTTAAATGGACTAAAGACCTTAATGTAAAAGGCAAAATCATAAAATATTTAGAAGACAATATATAGGGAAGTACATCGGAAACCTGAAGTAGGGAGGAAATTCTTAAAAAGGAACAAAAAGTGCTGACCATAAAAGAAAAAAATTGATAAATGATACTAAAATTAAGAATTTTTGTTCATTAAAAAAAAACCTACAGTGAAAAGACAAGCCGCAAACTGGAAGTGGATAGTTACAACACATATAACTGACAAAGGATTAGTAACCAAAAAAACAAACAAGAAGTCTCTATATAATAAAAAGACAAACAAACCAATAGAAAAATGAGCAAAAGATTTAAGTGGCAGTTTCAGAGAGGCTGAAACCTGAATCATCAATAAGTATATGAAAAAATGCTCAACCCACTAATGATCAGGAAAATGCAAATCAAAACCACATGAGATATCACCGAACTCCCATCAGATTCGTAAAAATTTTAAAGTCTGATAAGACTATTGTTAGCAGGATGTGAAGCAAACAAAATTGTCGGTTGAAGTACAAATTGGGGAAACCACTTTGGAAACAATTTGTTGTTATTCGGTCAAACTAAAGACGCACACACCCTGTGTGAGTCCCATCCTGGGGATGTACTCTGGAGAGGCTGTACCCAGGAATGCTCACAGCAGCACTGTCTGTCTCAGCAAAATATTGGAAACAACCCAAACGTCCATCAGCAATAGAAGAGATAAATAAATTTTCATAAAATGGAACATTATGCATCAGTGAAAATGAAATACAACTATAAGCAACATGTTTTAATCTCAAGAACATATGTTAAGCAAAAAATTTAAGTCATTGAAAAAAACGACATGATTATATTAAGTTCAAAAACATGTGAAATTAAACAACCCATTGTTTAGCAGTACAAACACACGTGGTAAAACTATAAAGAAAGGCAACAGAATGATAAAAGCAAAATTCAGCGACTATCTGGTGTGGGGATGGGACAGGGAGGGGCACTCCAAAGGTAAAGGTAACGTCTTTTTTGTAAATTGAGTGTTGGGTACCTGGGTGTTCCTTGTACCCATATTCTTTATACTGTACATATTTTTTGTATCTACTCAATATTTAACAAAAACAACTTACAAAATTAAACAATGTTCTTTCTGATTTTAAACAACGTTTCGAAGCATTAACTTGGGCAGCTGACTTGAGTCACAGTAAACCAGGAAAGTCCCTGACAGGGGCCCACACAGCCCCAAGACTCCTGAAATGAGAAGCACTTCACCAACCTGGCTTCTGAGCTAGGGAGAGACAGTGTCCCCCTGGGCGGTAGAGCCTTCCATTCAGAACAGGAAAGTGACTGCTTAGATTAACAGTTCCAGGAGAGGAAGGGGTGCGGGTGGGGTGGGGAGAACAGGTTCTACTGCCAGACCTTTTAAGAACAGAAGCTGAATATGTTTTTGATGTTACAGTGAAGACACCAAGCCCACTTTCTGGCCTGGTCCCTCCTCTCAGATGGAAGTGCCACCCTTGAGCTTCTGTCTGCTGCTATTTAGACAGGAGGGAACAACTCCCAGTTCTAACCATGCCCTTTGCTTCCTTCCTTTGAAGCTCAAGGCTTCTCTCTTCCAATTCGTAACAACCAGGTTTGAACCTAAGAGCCCATGCCCTGGTTTTCTCTGTGCAACTGTGATTACATTACTGAGGTCAGCCTTAACTGGCCCTCGGACTGCCAAACTATTGATACCCTTGAGGACCTCAGAGAGTGCCAGGCACCTATGCTGACACTCAACACACACATCTATAGCAAATGCTGAAATCACTCAGTGCTAAAATGCTTACTCTTTGTGACCTCTATTATTTCAATCATTTAAAACTTGCAGCCAAGAAAAAAATTAGATTATAGTCTCTAGGACAATATGCTTTGTGCACAAAATGTATTTGGAGTTTTTCGTTTTCTGTAAGGTTGGGGTCCCTCCCTTTTGTGGTGTCCATTACCCCGCCAGACACCACATCTGAGTACCTCCATGCCACCCACACAGGCACCATCCTTCGGGGAATTCCAGGCCGGTAGAGACTGGGCCACCTGGTCTTTTTCACAGCAAACTGTTCAAACTCTGAAGCTCCACCCACAGAGGCCACCCTCTCAGCATTCTAACCGGCAGGGTTCAGTGTATGTGCTGCAAATCAAGCCACTTGACTCTTAAAACATGGTCTTCCCACATATACCTCCAGACATATGTATGTATAGAACAGCTCTGGAAGGACACACAGGTACTATTAACAGCTATCTGGGAGAGGAACTAGGTCAGCCTCGGGAGGGTGACTTACTTTCCACAGTACATTCTTTAGAACCTTCTGATTTTTGTACCTCGCGCATGTACTCCTATACTAAAGATATTTTTCTTCCTCAACTCTGCACACTTTCTTGCTTGTCCCTCTCAAGGGTCATCTTCTCCTAACTAACACATAACAATGCTAGTTACCAATTATGGTCAGGGATGCGACTAAGCATTTTACACGCATTACCTTATTAGTAATTCCACCCAGTAAAGTTACATGTGAGGGCATCATTATCCCCACCGCACACCTGAGGAAACTGAGGCTTAGAGAGGTCAAGTACTTTGCCCAAAGGCACAGAGCTAGTAAGTCTAAGAATGAGAATGAGTCCAGTATGTCTGACTTGGAAGTTCACGCTTCTAGCCAGTACCCTATACCGCAGGAGTTCTTAGCTGCGGGCGATTTTGCCCCAGGAGACACTTGGCAATGTCTGGAGACATTTCTAGTTGTCACAGCTGGAAGTAGGTGGGTACTACCGGCATCTGTGGGTAGAGGCTAGGGATGCTACCAAATATCCCAAAGTGCACAGGACAGTGCCCCATAACAAAGACTTACCCAGCCCCAAATGTCAATAATGTCAAGGTTGAGAAACCCTGCTCTACTGGAAAAAGACAGAAAGACAAACTATCTTCTCATAGTTTAGATCATAGTTCACCATGTCTATATCCCACATTACAGCCAGATACCAAATAAACCATCAGGTTCTCTCTCTTCAATCAACAGCATACCAACCCCACGTCACACTGGAGTTCTCTCTGGCCCCAACTGCCAGTTCCTCTTCAGCCAATCGAGGCTGATCATCCATCCATCCAACAACATTTACTGAGCACAGCTATTTGCCAGGAAATGAGCTACACACTGGGAATACCAGGAGAAACAAGATCCCATCCCTGCAGGCAAGATGCTGTGGTCTAATGGGGAGACAGGCAAGAAAACCTTTGACTATAACACGAGGTGAGAGTGTACTCAGAGATCAGTGTAGACTGCCAGGAAATCACAGAGGAGGCGCTCCAAACTCAGCTGGGGTGGAGGGCTGGGTAGGGCTCAGAGAAGGCTTCCTAGAAGCATTTAGCTTAAATGAATTAACAAACAGAGGGAATCCTTCCCTTCCCAAACAATCCCTCACCAGACCTTTCACAGTATGGTCTCTGAGAATCCAGATTGACAACTTTAATTAGAAAGCTTGGTGGAACTCCTGAGAAAAACAGGGAGGGCACAGAGGACTCCTTGATCCTCTGTGTACAACCTGGATAATTCCTGCCTCAAGGGAGGATGGCAACCTGGCTTCCCCATAGGTTTAGGCCTTCTTCCACTGCAGTCTAACTGGCCTCTCTGGCTTCCCACCATCCTGCACCATTTACACAGCAGACCCTGTGAATTACATGCTTGATCTCACATAATTCTCAAAACAATCCCGTGAGGTAGATATTGTTATCCCTATTTTACAGATGAGAAAACCGAGGCACAGCAATTAAGTAACCGGCTCTCAGGACACAGAGCCACTAAACAGGGAAGCAGGGATTCACAATCCAACTCCAGAGCCCTCGCTGCCTCTATCTGAGGGGACCTTTACAGTATCAATCCAAAACATGGCGATCACTCTAAATCTTCCCCTCAATAGAGCCTTCCAACATCAGTCATCCTTCTGTGCACTAGACACAGACCTGTGTCTACTTGTGAACAGACCTCTGTGGTGTTTCTTGCATTGTACTGTGATCATCCACACAGCTAGGAGCTCCTTGCTCCCGGGATCCAGTCTCACTCATCTCCACGTCCCTAGCACCCAGCACAGCACCTGACACACTGGGCACAGAAAATGCTAAATGCAAAAACAAGCCTGGACTCTGTGGGCCCAAGCAACACAAGCCCTCCCAAAGCCAGAGCAGCACACCCAGCCCTCTTTCACCACAGTGACTTCCCCTCAGGCTGGGCCCACACCCCAAAGTCAGCAATCCAGTCATACCGGGGACACGGTAGGTTCTCTCAGCAAGCTTTCCCTCCAGCACTGGAACAGTCATGATTTGTTCTTTGGTTGTACACCAGATGCTTATGTTCGGGGACATACACAAAAATATTTATCTTTAAACATCAGAACCTTAAAACGAATGAGCATGTGCTCTCCACCCTATCTTTCCCTTTCTGCCAGATAGAATGCATACACGATGGCAGGAGCTGGAGCAGCCAGCTTAGACCATGAGATGGAAGCCTGGGTTTGAGCAAGGAGAGCCACACGATCAGTGGAACAGGAGTGACTTCATGGAACAGTGAGCTGCCCTCCCAGCTCTGGACTGCCTACTTCCAGTCTACTAAGGGGCAAGAAATAAACTTCTATTTTGTTTCAGCCAGTGTATTTTAGGATCGCTTTGTTGGAATATTTTAGATTGTACTTAATTAAAACAAGGTGTGAGCATTGCCCAGCGATTAACCTAGTCTGGTCTTGGTTGGTAAAACAAAAATAATAACACCAACAACTTCCCAACCAAACTAACTAGGGTTTTGTCACTACCGTATAATTTTAAAGAAAAAGCTATCTTGAAAGGGTGATCTGAATCACACTGAGCCTAGAGAAGAAGGACAAACTGACCTCCTGGTTTGTTTCATCCCTGAGTATTACAGACATACCTCAGATTTCCAAGTAGCCCAGGCAGGCTACTCTTTTCTGGCAGTTTGTCTGTGTAAACTCCAGCTTGGCTCTCCTCCTCCAGCCCATTACCTGAATCAAAGACACCCGAGTAGAAAATCTGATGAGAACCCAAAGGGTACCTGCTCCCTAAGAGCTGCCCTTTCATTCATCCATCAAACACAGGCAAATGAGCACAGAGTACAGAGCACAGAGTAGAGAGCCTAGCACGGAGTAAGTGCTCAATAAATGTTAAATTGGCTCCTTATTGGCCTGCTGCATGCCAGACACTGCTGGACACTTGGGGCACAAAGACGAATAAACTCAGTCCCAGTCCCTACACTCAGGAACTCCCGCTTACTCAAAGACAACACAATGTTGATAAGCGAAAGCAACGAGGCTGTGCCCACGTAGTACTGCAGCATCAGCACTCCTCTGGGACGTCCCGGACACTGCTTCTCATTTCACACCTGCACTCTAGGTGAGCACAGCCCCTCCCATAACTTTAGTGACTTTTGATGGATGACAACTGCTAGATCACCCCTGGACAGCTCCACCTGAATGTTTTCCAAGCGCCCACTTTCAACACGTTCAAAACTAAATTTATCTTCCCTCCTCAAACCTGATCCCCATCCTGTTCCCTATCACACTGAGCAGCATCACCACCCACCAGTCACAAACTTGGGGTCGATCTTGACTCCTCCCTGCCCCTAACTCCCTCATCTAAGTAATTACCAGCTTTGGTCAATTCTACCTCCCAAACATCTCTCCTCACTCTCTGCCTCTAACCTAACTCAAGGCCACCCTCATTTCTCACCTGGATTATTCTAGCAGCCTCTTAATTGGCCTCCAGGCCCACTCCCTTTAATACATTCTTCATGTAGCCAGAGTGATCATTCTAATCCACAAATCTGAAATGTGAATGGCTTCCCATTAACCTCAAACTGAAAGTCCTTAACTAGGTTTACAAGGGCCCCTAGGACCACACCATGGCCGGCTTCTTTAGTCTTACCTCTCATCTCTGTCTCGAGGCAGAGAACTTAATTCCATCATTACCCTGGCCTCTGAGCTTTCTCGCCAACTCCATCTCCAACTGAGAACACTCTTCCCTTTTTTTTCTGCTTCCAGTTCCCTAAGCATCCTTTAGGTCTCAACTTCCTGGGGGGCAGAAGCATCCTTAGGTTCGCCTAGAAGAGTGAGGTGCCTCTACTTTGTGTTTCCAGAGCAAGGAAGGCTGTTCTTCCATCCTAGCAGTAACAGAATTCCCTATTTATGTCTCCCACGAGTCTCTGAGCTCTGGGTGATGATGACATGAATACACAATAACTGCAACAAACACACACAGTATTCACTTTGTGCCAGGAAGAGTCCTCGGCACTGTCCACCTTTACCTCATTTAATCTTTATAACAATCTTAGGAAGGAGATTTTATTATCATCTCTGCTTTAAGGATGAGGAAACCGAGGCAGAAAGCGAGGACTTAATGTGCCTAAGGACACACTTGGCAAGCAGAGTCGGGATTCAAACTCGGGCTGCCTGACTCCACAGTTCACACTTTTAGCCACTCCACCAGGATCAAGTCTGCCTGGATCACTTGCTCTATCCTCAGAGCCCATCAGGTGCTGAACCACTGTCTGTGGAACGAATGAATGAATGAAATAATCTTATGCGGGGGCCGTGTCGGCCTCCTACTCTGCTGGCACCTCCTAGGCCCTGTAGGCCTGTGCCCCCCGGCCCCGGCCGGCTGCTGGGAGCTGCCCCGGCACCCCGCCACCTCGCGGCAGCAGAACGCCCACCCGCCGCGGTGCGCGGGGTCAAGGGGCGGTGACAGCCGGGCGGCGGGGACGGAGATGCTACCAGCTGGGGTGTCATCCAGTCCGGAGGCGACTCGTGCTCCCTCGCTGGGACGGCGATCCGCCCGCCCCCTCCCCGCCTGCTGGCCCGGCGGCACCCCCCGCCCAGCTGCCCCGCACCCTCCTGCCTCGCGGGGTCGCCTCGGTCCAGGTTCCCTTCCCAGTCCACTTCCCTCCCCTCCCCCACACAACCGTCCCCGGCGTCCCGCTGCGCCCCATCCTCTGCTGCCTCCGCCCGGCTCCCGGGACTCCCCCGGCCCGAGGCGCTTGCTGACCCTCACCTGCCATGTCCCGGACCCCACCGCCGAGGGAGGTACATCACGGCCGCGAGAAGGCCGGGGACGGCACTTCAGAGCAGACAAAGGGCGCCGCCATGTTAGAGTCGGGCGGAACCGACCTCGCTGGCTTCCCAGCTGCAACTTCCGGCGCATGCGCAGCGCCCGCGCCTGCGGAGGATCGCGGACAGGCGCATGCGCCTAGCTATCCAGAAGTTCTGTATTACAGTACTTGTGCGATTAGAATTGTCGTCATTGTAACGGTTCCTTGGCGTTCCCTTCCAAATATAACAGTAACAGCTTCTGCGTGTTCAGCGCTTACTGTGTGCCAGGCACAGTGTTAAGCGGTTTACGTACATGTTCTCATTAAATCCTCTCACCAACCGTAAGATAGTATTATTCTCCCCCACCCCCGTCCCCCTTTTTTTTGGAGAAGGATAAACGGAGTGTCAGAAAGGGTAAATGTATTGCCCATTGTCACGCGTCTTACAAGTGGTGGAGCAGAGATGCGAACCTAGTTGTGGCTGCAAAGCTGCAGATCCCCGATTATGTTTTTCTACCTTCGGAGCCAACCATTACCTCCTTCCTATTTAGGGCAGATCCAGGCTTAGCCTGGGCGTGAATGAGGGTGCCTGGAAACAAAAGTGTGCAGACTTAGTCCCTCTGCGGCCTCTTTCCAACTTTTCAGCACCTCTAGGCCATTGACGTTTGTACTTCCTCACAGTTCACGGGCTTTCTCTTTCTTCACTTCCGATCCTATTTATTTTCCATGATCCGTAATTTTAACAACACTCTTGCCACTACCCTAAACTCGTTTCTTTGCTCCGTGTCTTTTTGTAACATGGATTTGGTAAGAGTTCCAACCCTGAGTGAATCCAACTGCGCTATTCTTTTCGCCTGCACTCAAATAGCCAAGCACAGTTGGAGAAAGTACCCAACAGGAAAGACTGTTCCCTACAAATTCGTAACTGCGAGCCTTAAATCCGATTTCAACAAATGTCAGTCTGGCCAACTCCCTGCTCCTCTCTTCACAATGACCAGAGAAACTAAAACGCTCAGCAGCGGTTAACTTCACCCTTTCTTTTACAGGAAAATAATAGCAAATCTGATAGGAACTCTCTAGTCTTTCCAATACTAAGCATACAAATCTACATCTGCGTCCATCTCTGTTGGATATAGTCAGTCAGGACTCAGTATCCATTTCTTTCAGAATCTAAAAATTTAAAATTTTATTTCCTGGATTCAGTTGCATTTAGAATCCCAGATACAGATGAGTTCTGCCAGTTGGTAAGATTTGGAAGGTGGAAGTGAGGCCGTAGCCATTGGCCTGCTGATGTTAGTTGATTTCTGCTGGCAAGCAAGGTCATGCAGATGTGGGGGTTTGCAGCAGTGCATGGTGGTCAGTCTTCAGCTTCATGAGTGTTCAGAAACATCTGTGAGATGGTGACAGCCAAACTCAGCATTCTAGTACTTGAGAACCAGCTCCTAGTCCCAAATTTAGATCCACAGATCCTTGCTGTGGGGATATGTTCTTGAATGCAATAATCCCAGTGATGGCCTCTTGATTCTGCATCTTCCTGATTGTGGCAGAATAGCTCCTGATTGGTGAGTTCAGTGGTGTTCTGAGAGCCATCACTAGAGGCCCAGTCTAGAGACCATTCTTTCAGCCCCTCCAATAATTTTACAAACACTTAATTCTTTATTAAATCCCTTTCTGCTTAAAATAAGCCTAGAAACAACATGAGGGATCCTTGTGGTGATGGAAATGTTCTGTGTCTTGACTGTATCAGTGTAAATATCCTGGTTGTGATATCGTACTATAGTTTTGCAAGATGTTACCATTGGGGGAAACTGGGTTAAGGATAGGAGAAATTGCTCTGTATTGTTTCTAAAAAAAAATGTTTTTTTTTATAATTTTATTTATTTATTTTTTCCCCCAAAGCCCCAATAGATAGTTGTATGGCATAGCTGCACATCTTTCCAGCTCCTGCGTATGGGACGCGGCTTCAGCATGGCCAGAGAAGCGGTGCATCGGTGCGTGCCCGGGATCCGAACCCCGGCCGGCAGCAGCGGAGTGCGCGCACCCAACCGGTAAGCCACAGGGCCGGCCCTCTGTATTGTTTCTTACACTTGCATGTTAACCTACAATTATTTCAAACTAAAAAGTTTAATTAAGGAAAAAGCCCAGCAAGGTTTCTAGTGCAGGAAACTGACCCTCAACGGTGGAAATTAAGGCATTGGATTTGAAGGCAATGCAGATCTAGTCTATTTCATGCAGGGGAAAAAATAGTTACATAAGTTATCATTTATCACAATAAGTATTGTTGCCTGGGGGAAAGTATCTAAGGAAGACAAGCATTTGGTAGATGGAGCAGTTGCTGCAATTGACCATTATAGTGGGAATTAGGACTATAACGATTGTGGAGTGGGCTGGCTATTTGTAATTACATTGAAGACTTCCAAAGAAGAAATATTTAGGGTTTAAATTCTCAGCTCAAGACATGTCAGAGAACCAGGGGCTGCCCTGACTACTCTAAAAAATGTATCTTATCTCTTGTAGCCACAGGGCTTATGTAGCCAAAAATTGGACGGAGCTGATCCTGTGAGTTGCTGAAATGTAACATAATTGCAATATGAGTTGTATTTACAGCCTGGCCAGGTGCACTGAATGGGAATTAGTAGCACTTAGGAATTGAAATGGGGATGTTTGAGTGGACGCAGATGACTGAACTCCCTGACTCCCCAAATCCAAAATTCAGTGAAACTCCCTTGCCAATAGAAGCAGCCTCTCCTCCCATTGAATGAGGCTGATCCTCCTTTCCCTGGAGAGCACAAAATGACCTCATCTTAGGAAGTTATATTGCAAGGAGATGCTGATTCCTCTCAGAGACCACTCTCCCACCCTTCATTTGTCTCCAGATCTATGAGAGTCCAATTCCAAAATGTCCCAGGAAACAAGCACACAGTCTGACCATGGAAGTGACTTATACACACAAGAGAGAAAGAAAGAAAGAAAAGGTAGGAAGGAAAGAAGGAAGGGAGGAATGAAGGAAGGAAGGAAACGTAAGCCTTAGCTAATAAATTAGCTGAAATCTAGGAAATATAGGTGTAACTGGATTCTAAAAGTGCTAAGTCAGGGGCCGGCCTGGTGGTGTAGTGGTTAAGTTTGCATGCTCTGCTTGGCCGGCCCCGGGGTTTGCCATTTCGGATCCTGGGCGCGGACCTATGCGCTGCTCATCAGGCCATGCTGAGGCCGCGTCCCACATGGAGAAACTAGGAGGATGTACAACTATGACATACAACTATCTACTGGGGCTTTGGGGAGAAAAAAGGAAAAACAGGAGGAAGATTGGCAACACATGTTAGCTCAGGGCCAATCTTCCTCAAAAAAAAAAAAAGTGTTGAGTCAGGGAGGAAGGAACATAACATTAGATTTGGCTGAATTTATCCATATAAGTGCACATTACAGAGATTTTGGGGTTTTAATGTTCTAGCTCAAACAGCTGAGAATGGTTCTAACAGCACAGTTGGTTGATTGAAATCTGGACCCAACAGTGGTCTTCATTAAATGAAGTGGAGAAGCCAGAAACTCCTTAGAATAATATATAGGAAGGAATCCAAACATTTGTGCCAGTTGGTGGGGACAGGGCAGGAGCTAGGTATACATGCGTTGATCACATGAGTGAAGGATTATGACTTGCCTGGTTTCTCAATGGGGCTATTGCTCAAGTGTATTACTAACCAGCTCCCACAGCCCCAAGCTTCTCCTCTCCAGTGTCCCCGCCCCTTAGCTGTCAGAGTGACACATCACTATCTCTGGTCTGGAGCCTCCAGCCTAGACCTCCTCCACCCCCTACCCTAATGCCCTCCCAAAGCCCAGTTATTATTCACCTGTGGGCTACCCTGCATTTTCCCAATAAGGAGAATTGTTATGTGGTTGGCCAACTTGTAGATATAAACTTAAAGAGCAGTAGATAAACTGACAAATGTCTATTTATGCAACTTAGTTTATCATTTTGATTACACACATCTTGAAAATCATGAATTATGTAACATAGTATATTAATTTATAAATGCTGCCTTTTTTTCTCTACTCACTTGTCATGAAATGGTTTTCTTAACTCTTCACAGGCATCCTTGACATGCACTTTTTAATTCCTCTCCATTTTGAAAATGTTGTAAAGTACACAAAAGTAGATAAAATAATTAAATATTTTCTATATGCCCATCATCCAGATTCAATAGTTAGGTTTTACTACATGTACTTAATATATCCTTCCTTTCTTTTTCTTTCTTTCTTTAATTGCTGAAGTATTTTAAAGCAAATCTCAGCTATCATGTCATTCTATCTTTATATATTTCAGTGTGCAACTCTTAGAAAATGATCTTAGGGGCTGGCCCCGTGGCTTAGCGGTTAAGTGCGCGCACTCCGCTGCTGGCGGCCCGGGTTTGGATCCTGGGCGCACATGGACCCACCGCTTATCCGGCCATGCTGAGGCCGCGTCCCACATACAGCAACTAGAAGGATGTGCAGCTATGACATACAACTACCTACTGGGGCTTTGGGGGGTAAAAAAAGAAAAAAAGGAGGAGGATTGGCAATAGATGTTAGCTCAGGGCTGATCTTCCTCACAAAAAAAATAAAAATAAAAAAATAATAATAAAAAAGAAAAGAAAATGATCTTACATTTCCACAATGCCCTGATCATGCCTAACAAAATTAAGAATATTCTTTGGAATCATTTAATATCCAACCACAATCAAATTTCTCTAATTGTCTCAAAATGTCTTGTTATGACTGCTTTGTTCAAATCAGGATTCATACAAGGTCCTCCCATCGCAGTCACAGTGGGTAGGTTTTTTGTTTGTTGTTTATTTGTTTTGCCTTTTGAGTCACTTTTACTCCAAAGCAATCCTTTCTCCTTGTTTTTTTGCCTGTTCCATTGCATCGCCGTGTTGCAGAAATGGGTTCAGTCATCCCGTAGAATGTCCCACATTCTGGATTTCTCTGTTTGCTTCCTTGTGCTGTCATTTGCCCAGCTCCTCTGTCCCCTTATTTCCTATAAATTAGCTGTAGAGGCCTGAACAGGTTCAGGTTCAACTTTTTTTGATAAGAACACATCATAGATGCTGTTGAGTGCTTCTATAGAGTCACATCAGGGCCCCCTTTAGTGATGCTAAGATCCATGGTGGGTTTGGATGACAGCAGCCTGATTCCTTCTTTGGAAAGTTCCCCATCAAACTTCCACATAATAGTTTCTTCCTTCGAAGATCCTTGTCTCAGTCAATGATTTCATTAGAGGTTATAAAATGATGCATTTCTGATTCTATCATTCTTTCCACATTTATTAGCTGGAATTCTTCTGTAAACAAGGACTTTCCATCATCAACTAGGGCCATATAGTTACCTGGAAATATAGTTCATTCAGGAAAAGCAGGATAGAGCTCATTTCCTTTTTTTTTAAATAACAGCTTTATTGAGATATAATTCACATACCACACAATTCACCCTTTTAAAGTGTACAATTCACTGGTTTTTAATATATTCACAGAGTTGTGCAACCATCACTGCTACCTCATTTCAGAACATTTTCATCACCCCAAAAAGAAACCCCATACCCATTGATAGTGACTCCCCATTCCTCCCTCCTCCCAGCCCCTGGCAACCACTAGTCTACTTTCAATCTTTATGGCTTTGCCTATTCTGGACACTTTATATAAATGGAATCATAAAACATGTGGTCTCTAACGACTGGCTTCTTTCACTTAGTGTTCAAGTTTCATCCATGCTGTAGCAGGTATCAGTACTTTAATCTTTTACATGGTCAAATAATATTCCATTGTATGGATATACCACAATTGGTTTATCCATTCATCAGCTGATGGACCTTGGAGTTGTTTTCACTTTTGCTCTTATGAATAATGCTGCTAAGAACACTTGTGTCCAAGTTTTTGTGTGGACATATGTTCTCACTCTTGGGTATATACCCAAGACTGAAATTGCTGGGTCTTAGGGTAACCCTATCTTTAACATTTTGAGGACCTGCCAAAGTCTTCCAAAGCAACTGCACCATTCAACAATCCTAACAGTAATCTGTGAGGGTTCCAATTTCTCCACATCCTCACTAACGCTTATTATTGTCTGTCTTTTGGATGTTTATTTCCTTTTAATTTTCCATTTTCAGAGTAAGGAGAAGGTGTCCTGGTTATTTCCACTGGTGTCCAATGAGAGTCGTCCCCACTCACTTTTTTAAAATACATTTTTTATTTCAGAATAATTTTAGATTTGTTGAAAAATTACAAAGATAGCACAGAGAGTTCCTGTACCCTCCACACCCAGTTTCCCCCATTGTTAACATCTTATGTAAGTATGGAACATTTGTCAAAACTAAGAAAGCAACTTTGGTACATGACTGTTTGCTAAACTCCAGACTTTATTTGGATTTCACCAGTTTTTCCGCTAATGTCCTTTTTCTGTTCCCGGATCCAGTCCAGGATCCCACATGGCATGTAGTTGTCAAGTCTCCGTAGTCTCCTCTGGTCTGTGACAGTTTCTCAGACTTCCCTTGCTTTTTATGATCTTGACAGTTTGAGGAATACTGGACAGGTATTTTCCAGAATGTCTCTCAGTTTGGATTTTTCCAGTGTTTTCCTCATGATTAGATCAGGGTTATGGGTGTGGGGCAGGACACCACAGATGGGAAATGCCCTTCTTGTCACCTGCCAGTGGGAGCACATGCTCTCCACATGTGCCCCATGACTTTTTTTTTTAATTGTGATAAAATGTGCATTGCCCAGTTACTTTTTAAGTCCTCTAACACAAGCAACACTATCCAGCCAGAATTTAATTTTGTTTTATTTTCTTTGATATTCGCATAGTGAATCAGTTTTCTATTGTTGCTGTAACAAATTACCACAATCTAGTGGCTTAAAGAAATACAGATTTATTATCAGTTGGTCAGAATTCTAACATGGGTCTCACTGGGCTAAAATCAAGATGTTGGCAGGGGCTGGCCTGGTGGCGCAGCAGTTAAGTGCGCACGCTCCGCTTTGGTGGCCCAGGGTTCGCAGGTTCGGATCCCTGGCATGCACCGACGCACTGCTTGGCAAGCCATGCTGTGGCGGCGTCCCATATAAAGTAGAGGAAGATGGGCACGGATGTTAGCCCAGGGCCAGTCTTCCTCAGCAAAAAAGAGGAGGATTGGCATCAGATGTTAGCTCAGGGCTGATCTTCCTCACACACACACAAAAATAAATAAATAAAAAATTTTAAAAATAATACAAAAAAGAAAAGGGGCTGGCCCAGTGGCGTAGTGGTTAAGTTCGTGCACTCCACTTCAGTGGCCAGGTGTTTTTGGGTTCGGATCCTGGGTGTGGACGTATGCACCACTTATCAAGCTATGCTGTGGCGGAGTCCTCAGCAAAAAATGAGGAGGATTGGCAACAGATGTTAGCTCAGGGCTAATCTTCCTCACCAAAACAAACAAACAAACAAAAGATATTGGCATGAAGCTTCCCTTATGGAGGTTCTAACAAAAAATCCCTTTCTTTGCCTTCTCCAATTTACGGCCATTTGAATTCCGTCTTCAAAGCCAGCAATGGCAGGTTGAGTCTTTCTCACTTCATATGTCTCTGGCCTTTTTCCATCATCACATCTCTTCTAACTCAGCCAGGAAATGTTCTCTAATTTTAAGGACTAGTGTGATTAAACTGTGCTCACTCAGATAATCCAGGATAATCTCCCCATCTCAAAGTCCATATCTGTGATATTGTGATTTATAATAAATATATATTTGGTCTTCGTCCTGGCTCCTGGCACAGAGCTCTTAACACCCTTGGAATTTCCCAAGTGGCGAGATAGATAAAGGTGTCTTTTGTTATGTTAATGAAGTGATTTGGGGAAAGCCCCTAGGTCACCTAGGGATGGGGGCTGGTTGCCAGGGGAACCAACCCAGAGATTAGAGAGTTGGCACTTTAGCCCCTCCCACTGACCTCTGGGGAGGGGAAAGGGGCTGGAGAGTGAGTTCAATCACCAATGGCCAATAACTTAATCAATCATGCCTATGTGATGAAGCGTCCATAAAACCCCAAAAGAATGGGGTTTGGAGAGCTTCCGGGTTTGTGAACATGTGGAGATTTGGGGAGAGTGGCTCACTCAGAGAGCGCAGAAGCTCTGCTCCATGGCCCACATACCTTGCCCTATGCGTCTAGCTGTTCCAGAGTTGTATCCTTTTATAACAAACTGGTAATCTAGTAAGTAAAATGTTTCTCTGAGTTCTGTGAGCCGCTCTAGCAAGGAGGGGGTTGTGGTAACCTCTGATCTATATGTGATAATCACAGGTAACAACCTGGACTTGCGATTGGTGATTGGCATCTGAGGGGAGCGGCGGAGGACAGTCTTGGACAGCCCTTAACTTGTGGTATCTGATGCTATCTCCAGGTAGATAGTGTCAGAATTGAGTTAATTGCTTGGTGGTGTGGAAAAAAACCCCACACATCAGAATACTCTTAATCACATCAGCAAAATCCCTTTTGCTGTGTAAGGTAACATATTCACAGGTTCTGGAGATTAGGCCATGGACATCTTTGGAAGACCATTATTCTGCTACCATACATAGTTACTTCTTATTTATAGAAGTGATATTGTTTCCATTTAATGTAGCAATACCAATTTTCCTTTTAAAGTGTATTTCTTTTTCAGTAAAAACACTTGGTTGACTTAAAGGATGCTGTAGACTGAATGTGTGTTCCCCCAGAATTCATATTTTGAAACCTAATCCCCATTGTGATGGTGGGGCCCATGGAAGGTGATTAGGTCATGAGGGTAGAGCCCTCATGATGGGACTATTGCCCTTATAAAAGAGACCCCACAGAGATCCCCTGCCCCTTCCCCCACTGCTGACATAGCCAGATAATGACTGAGGTTTGGGAAACTGAGGCCTGAATGAGAAGTTTCCAAGGTCTGTCCCAAGTCAGAAAGCAGCTGGAGTTGGAAGAAATAGCGTCTGTTTGGTAGAAGGCTTGCCTCCCAGCTACCCGACAAGAATCTTGTTGACATAACCCTGTCGATCAAAGCAATCCCCTAACTGCCCCAAGCCAGCTCCTGTGGCTCCCAGCGGAATTCACTCAGCAGATCCCATCCCAATCCGGATCCGGCAAATATAAAAGGTCTGTCTTTGGGTGGGGAGCTACATCCTGGAAGGGCCTGCTGGGAACTGCTCCTTCTGCTAAAGCTGGGCCAGGCGCCATGGCAGCAGCAATGGCCGCCTCAGAAGACCCCAAGGACCAGAGAGCCAGCCCCAACGTCACAGGCCTTGAGACAGACCTGGAGACCAGCTCGAGTAAGAGGGGGTGGCGGGTGCCTCAGCTCTGCAGAAAGACCAGCTGGGGGAGGCTAGGGAGGTGGGGATCAGAAGGCAGATACCCTTCCTTGGGGCTGCCGGGATTCTCAAGCTATGGGTGGGCTTCATCTATTTCCTGTGTTAACCAACCTACCAGAACATAAGCTTCCTGCATTGAGCCTGCATTGTGGTGAAGAGCATGTGGTTAAGAGAATGGATTTGATTATTATTTGGGTAACTGGAAAAGTTACTTTTTTAAGAGCACAGGCTTTGGATTCAGACCGATCTGCTCTGGCATTTACTTCATTGATAAATCGATTGATTGGTTCATGGCTTCTCCCTGTGCTGGGCCCTGAGCTGGGCGGGGAGGACAGAGCGGGGATCCCCAAGGCAGATGGGAGCAGGCACTGATGGCATTCTCTGAGGCTGTGGACAAGATTATGTGAGGAGGTGGCAAGCATCACAGCACTCCCTAAGGACCACCACCATCTGCACGAGCTGAGCCTCAGTTTCCTCACCTGTAAGAGGTTGGCCAGGGGCCAGCCTGGTGGCATAGTGGTTAAGTTTGAGTGCTCCGCTTCAGCGGCATGGGGTTCACAGGTTCGGATCCCAGGCGCGCACCGACGCACCACTTGTCAGGCCATGCTGTGGCGGCGTCCCATATAAAGTGGAGGAAGATGGGCACGGATGTTAGCCCAGGGCCAGTCTTCCTCAGCAAAAAGAGGAAGATTGGCAACAGATGTTAGCTCAGGGCTAATCTTCCTCACCAAAAAAAAAAAAAAAAAAGGTTGGCCAGGCCTTCCTCTTGTTTGAAGACCTCACTACTCACAGTGTGGTCCATGGGCCAGCAGCACTGGCATCCCCTGCGAGCTTGTTAGAAATGTAGACCCTCGGGCACCACTCCAGACCCACCGTACCAGAACCTGCGTGTTAACAAGATGCCCGGGTGGTTCACGTGCACAGCAAAGTTGAGAAGCTCTGAGGCAGTGGCTGTGCCCCCTGGCCCCCCAGACTGGGGGGAATGGGGAAGCCAGGATTGAAACTCAGGTCTCTCTGATGCTGAAATCCATGCTCTTAGATGCCACTGTCTTCCCATCTTTGTGTGTCATCCAACCCACCGTTAAAGACTTGTTGAGTGAATGAACAAGTGAATTAACGAATCCACATCCTTTGCTGGGCTAACACACACCTTTGGTCTTTTCCTTCCTTCCAGGTGGGAAGCCGGCCCGCCATCAGAAGGCCATCCCCTCTGCTCATCTAACTTTCGTTATTGATTGTGCTCGTGGGAAACAGCTCTCCCTGGCAGCACCCTCGGTGCCACCCCGAGCCCCAAGTCCCAACCTAGGCCCTGTCACCTCTCCGATGAAGACCTACATCCTGTTCTGTGGGGAAATCCAGCCCCATCTAACTCAGGAGGCCCCCCTGGGTGGCAGATGCCTTGCCCAGGCCAGGGGTACCTTGCCACCCTGTGGAGGGACTGGGGCCCCAGCTTCCTCTCCAGTCAGCCCACTCTGCCCCCAGGAGGCTCCTGAAGCCAAGGGGAGCCCCTTGAAGACTGTGCCCGCAAGGTCTTCAGCTTGGGGAACAGTCATAGGCTCGCTCAAAGCCCTCTCCTCCTGTGTCTGTGGACAGGCAGATTAACTGGAAGGGCCTGGCCATGGAAGGGAGGGGTTGGCATGCCAGGCTCAGTGCCCGGGGGCTGCAATTCCCAGAGCCCACTACCTCTTCCCCAGCCAAGGAAGGAGCATTAGATCCACTAAAGGACATCTGAAACAGCCACTGAGTACACACTCAAGGGTATCCTACTTCCTCCTTCCTCCCTATCTTTGCTAGCCTTTCAGCAGAAGCAGGATAAGGCACCTCCACATGGAAAGAGACTAATTCATTCATAAGCAAATTCTAACGGAGCACCTTCTACATGCCAGGCTCTGCAAAGTGCTAGAGAAGATACCACAGCTTGCTTGGTGCTCATATTCTTGGGGCGGGGGTGGGGCACAGGGAGAGGAGACAGGTTAACCAAATAAAGATAATTTTGAACAGTGAAATGAGTGCTGTGTAGGAACGGAAACAGGGTGCTGGGATGGAAAGTGATTGGGGCAGAGAGCTGTTCTGATGTGGTGGTAGGAAAAGGCCTCTCTGAGTGGGCAACAAAGTGTGATGTAAAAGATGAGAAGGAGCCAGCACTGTGAAAATCCACCTCCCCAGGGCCACCTGGCGGGCATTCTATCCCAGTGCAGACCAGGGCGGGGTCAGGACGCCCCAGCATGACAGGCAGGGGCAGCATGTTGGCTGCTGTCGTCTTGGCTCGGATGCAAGTGTGTAGGTCACCAGGAGGGCATGGACACCAGAGGGGAAATTAAAGGGCCCAGGCAGGACCTGGCAATCTAAGAAGGGATATAAAGACAACTGGCTTCTCAAGAGAGGGTAGAAGTGCTCAGAAAGGGAATGGAGTATCATGTTTGAACAAATGAAAACAAAGAGATATTATTTATTGAGTATCTACTGCATACCAGGCTCATGCTGCCCCCTAGGGATACAGACAAAAAAGGGGGGCTTGGTCCCTGCGCCACAGGGCAGTCATGTTCTCCCACAGGAAGTGGGGTCACTGATGTGTGTGTAAGTCTAAGAGATGCACAGAGCTGTGTGAAATGCTAAATCAACCCATCCGAGGAAGTGTGTCTCAAGGCTCTCAGATTAAAACTGATGATTATTCATTTACTTATTCAATGACTATTTTACTAGGTTTCTACGAACACTAGTGGCTAACATGTATTGGCCATTTGCTCTGTGCCAGGGAAACGACATCCTCGCAGTGCCACTATGGGGAAGCACTGTTTTTGTACCCATTTCACAGATTAGGGAACCGACGCACAGAAAGGTTGAGGAACACACTCAAGGTCTGACAGACTGGTACAGTTGGGATTAGATCCCAGGCAAACCTGGTGCTCAAGTTCTTGCTCCTAACCATAGAGCAGATGGCCTGAATCCTGGCAGGGTCTCTTCTAGGCAGAGGGGATCTGAAGCTGGGTACCTGAGAGTTACTGTAAATATTCAATAAGAACATGATTACCCTTCGACCTTGTTCCCAACACAGACACAGGTGAAAAAAAGTTAATTGTGTTAATTTGCTGTTTTCTTGTTTAACCTGAGGGGTGACTCAAGAGTCACAAAGAGGGGCCCGCCCGGTGGTGCAAGTGATTAAGTGCACGCGATCTGCCGCAGCGGCCCGGGGTTCGCCAGTTCAGATCCTGGGCGCGCACCGATGCACCGCTTGGCAAGCCATGCTGTAGCGGTGCCCCATATAAAGTGGGGGAAGATGGGCACGGATGTTAGCCCAGGGCCTGTCTTCCTCAGCAAAAAAAGAGGAGGATTGGCAGATGTTAGCTCAGGGCTGATCTTCCTTACAAAAAAAAAAAAAGAGAGTCACAAGGATTTATGAGTTTGTTTTGCAGAAGAAAAAGAATGCCCTTAAGGAATTTATGACCACCAGATAACCAGCCCCCAGCTGCTGCTGATGCCCAGAAGTCTGGTTGCCCAAGGGCTTATCTGGAATGAAAGGAACATGGACTTCTCCTTTGTTTCTCCAAAACTCCTCCTCCCAAGCCCCTTAGCTCTATAAAGACCCCCTGCTTTCTTCTTTTGTGAAGGTGGATTTGAGAGAACGTATCCTCCTGCCTTCTCCTTTTGGCAAGTTCAAATAAACCCTTCTCCATCTCCAAGCGCTGACGTCTCAGTGCTTATTGTGCATCAGGCACATGAATTTGAGATTAAGAGGTTCAGTATCAGATCCAGAGAGAACAGTCATAACCCTGTCCTCAAGGAGCTCACAGCATGGTGGAGGAGGCAAGAAAGGAGGTGACTATTGCTGTAGCTTCTGATAAGCGCAACAGTGAGCACACACAGAATGATGTTGGGCTGGAGGAGAGGGCCCAGCCCACTCTGAGGAGAGGAGATCAGGGAGGGCTTCCTGTAGGAAGTGACGTCTAAACTAAGATTTGACCAGTGAGTGAGCCATACAAAGGCAAGGGGGCAGGGATGGGGAGGGTTCCAGGAAGAAGGACCAGAGTCATTCAGTCTGGCTGGAGTATTCATTCATTCATTCACCAAGTATTTATTGGGCACCTACTGTGTGCCGGGTTCTGGGCTAGACCCTGGGATGGAGCAATGGTAAGACAGACAAGACCCTGCCACAAAAGAGCTTATCCTCCGGTGCACAAACACACACAAAACAGAGAGGCCAGAGAAGTGGCAGGGACCACATGTGAGGCCTTGCAGGCCACGAGGAGGTCTTTAGATTTTATTCTGAGATGGGGACCGATGAGAATTGTGAGCAGAGAGTGACATGACCAGCCTACCTTAAAACAAAGTTCCTCTAGCCCTTGTGCTGGGATCAGAAGGCAGGGGAGAAAGCCTAGGAGGCTGCACCTTAATCCAGGCAAAGGGGGTGACAGTTTGGACTGGAGAGGTGGTGACAGAATAATCTGGATGACATATACGCCCTCCACCCTCCTCCCTGGTTGAGAGTCACTGGACTAGAAGAGCCCAAAGACATCCTGGCAAACCGAGTTTGAGACCCTCAAGGAAAAGGGCGAGGCCTGTGGCTGCACATCTAGCTTTGCACCAGCAGGTGTCGCCCTAGGACTAGACTGGAGGGCACCTCATGGTGGCCAGGGTGGGGAGAGCCAGGCGGCTGGGCCTGGCCAGAGCCACGGGGCCAGCAACCAAGTGGGGTCTACGTTTTCAGAAGCCAAACTTTCTTTCTAACTGACACCCTTTCATCCAGAATAATGACTATTGATGTTTTTATATGCACCACATGCCACCTCCGTTCCTCTCACCCCAGACCTGTGAGGTGGGTATGATTTTTATGGCTATTTTACAGATGAGGAAACTGAGGCACAGAGAGATGAAATGATTTGCCCAAGGTCACCAACTAGAAAGAGGCAGAGCCCACACGCAAAGCCCAGGCAGAGCGATTCCACATTACACACCTGTAGTCGTAGCATCGTGACTGTGGGCTGTGCTATAGGCACTTAGCATCGTGACCACGGGCTGTGCTATAGGCACTCTGATCGAATCTGCTGAATGAGTGAAAGAAGATCTAGCGTTTTGCAGGGACCTAGCCTAGGGTGGTGGTGGGTAGGGCGTGTCTAGGGACTGAACAGGGGAGTGGGACCCTCACTGAGGTGGGGCCCACGGGTGGAGGAGAATAGCTCAGTCAGTCTCACCATAGTCCTAGGAGGCGATATCCCATTTTACAGATGAGGAAACTGAGGCTCTGGTAGGTTAAGCCACTGGCCCAAGGTCGGACAGCAGGTAAGTTGCAGGGCCAAGATTGAAATGGAGGTAGTTTGACCCCAGAGCTTTACCTACCCGCCATACTATAGGGACTTACAGAAAATCTGCGGAGGGAATGAATCAATAAATAATAGATTTTATTTATTCATAGATGCTATTGAACCAGTGAGTTAAAATGTGAATAAGTGATGTGTTTCCAGGTTGGCAGCCATGCTTAATGAGGACTGTGTCCCCCGTGCCTTAAAGTGCCTGTACATAATAGGTGTTTGAGAATTGTGTGAGAAGGAAGGGAGGGAGGGAGGGAGGGAGGAAGAAAGGAAGGAGGGGAAGGAGGGAGGGAGGGAGGGAGGAGCAGATTTTCAGTCCTGCCCTCTCCTCTCTGGCTCCCTGGGGCCAGCAGCCTTGCTTTGTGCCCTTCAGGGAGGCACCCCAGAGGGCCGCCACCCAGTCTAGTAGCCCCCAGACTCCCATGGAAGGTTGTCCCAGGTCCAGGCCTTGGAGGCCTCAGAGCTTGGGACTGGCCTGGCCGGCTCACACAGAGCCCCAGGCCAACTGTGGGGTGGCCCAGCTGTGCTGACTGTAAACAACACCCCTCCCCTGCCCAGAGGCTCTGCCTCAGGCCCCAGTCCAGCAGACTCAAGCCACCACGCCCCTCAGGACCCCTCAGGACCCTCTCTCTTTGAGGGCAGAGCCAGGGTGGGTGGAACCTTGGTTTTCCTTGTTCAGAAAACAACCACAGCCATTTTAACAAGAGCTTACGTTTACTGAGCTTCTACTAAAACATCATTCCTCTCTGGGCCTCATGGCAGCCCTGGGAGGGTGGTGCCCAATCTTTGTTTATGGATGAGGAAACTAAGGCTTCCAGGGGCTTCCCTCTCCCACCCCCACTCCCAAGGCCCAGGCAGGATCTCTGAGAGGGCCTGGGAAACTTTTAGTTCTGCCCTCACGGGCTTTTCCCGGAGAGGAGCCTCCAGGTACCAGGGCAGCTCCTCTGCCCCTCCAGCCCAGCTCTTCATGGAGCCAGGGACAGTGTGGGGGAAGCTGGGGACGTCAGGATCCAAACCTAAATGAAATGACAGTGGCTGAGCCCCACTGGGCATCTTCAATGCATGGCATACGTGAGCTATGGTCAGCTACCATGTGCCAAGCCCTTTCCGTGCATCACAAAACAACCCTAGCAGGTAGATCCTATTAGCACCATTTTACAGATGGGGCAACTGAGGCACAGAGATGGTACTTACTCAAGATCACGCAGCTCAGAAGCAGCAGAGCCAGGATTTGAACCCAGGTGGTGTGGCTCCAGAGTCTGCAACTGGCCCTCCACTCTTTACTGAGGCTTCTTAGCTTTTTAAAATAGCCTACATTTACTTAGCTCCTTTCCCAGGCCAGGCTTGGGAGCAAGAGGGCAGAATAAAGCATCCTCTGCCATTGCAGAACTGGGATCCAGGGTAGACTGGGGAGCGAATGAGGGGAGGGGGAGATGGGGGTACAATGTGGGAGGTTGGGGTTACCTCTGGGCCAGGGAAAGGTGGCCATGGGGATGGGGGGTTGGTCTGGTAGAGAAGCCCTGGCCTGACATTCCAGAGACCTAGGTCTTCATCTCATCTCTGCCACTGATTGCTGTGTGACCCTGGGCAAGGTCCTACCCTCCCTGGGCCTAGGTCTCCCCATCAAACCATGAGGAGTTTGGAGGGATAGGATTGGCCAACGACGTGGGTGGGGCCTCAGGGTCTGCCCAAGCCCCCAGGCATGTGCTCCTTTCATCTGAGTTTGAGTTGCTTTTGAAGATAAGTTTGGGGCCTAGGGTGATTTGGGATCTATGACTGAGCTGGTAGCTCTGGAGGGCTTTCTGGTGGAGGAGGTTTTGGCTGCTTTTGGCTAGGCCTTTAAAAGTGAGGGAACCTCCTAGTTCCTTTGCACCCCTCAGGGTCTCTGGCACCAGCTGACCTGGGCCTTCACACAGGTCTCTAGCCCCAGAGGGCCGCATCTTTTCAACTTCCCCTGCCTCCAGCCCAGGCCCACTCCAAAAGCTATGAGATGTAGGAGTTCTCCTTCCCTGTACAGGATGCTAGGGTGGGGGCAGAGGAGCTGCCCCGGACCCCTGCTGGTGGGGGATACTGATCCGGGCTGACCCAGCAGAGGGCCTTCTAGAGCCACGAACGAGGATTCAAATCCCAGCCACGCCCCTTCCAAGCTGGGTGACCTTGGGCCAGTTGCTAGACCTCTCTGAACCTCCTGTCCTCCTTGGTACCTACCTTGAGGGATTGTTGTGGGGAGGAGCAGCGTGCTTGGCACACGCTAGGCCCTCAATGAACGGGACTGCTATAATTATTCTTCATGGTGGGGGCGGGGCGCAGGGCCTGCAGCCAGGCCTATATTTAGCCTGGAAAGGGTCGGGGGCGCTAGGAGACAAAGCGCCTCGGCCAGCGCAGGCGCTCCGGGGGCGGAGCCGATGAAAGACGGCCTGCCGTCCCCACCTCCCAGCCCTGCTCTTCCGCAGGGTCACCTTGGCGGGAGAGCTGCCTCAGTCCGGACGTGCCCGGTCCCCAGCGGCCGCTCTATGACCTGCGCAGCCCTCATCCCCCCAGCCCGCGGTCTGGAGAGGGGGCTGCTGGGTTCTGGGGGGTGGGGAGTATTCGGCCCCTTTGGCCGCTTGGGGAGCTGCCCCCTTTCCCAGGCCGGACTGCCCGCGGCCCATCCCCCACCCCCCCAGGGAGGGAGGGGCATCGCTGGGGTCGGGAAGCCAAGGTGAGCCTGACCACCGGTCGGGGGTCGAGGGAGTGGGAAAGCTGGTCTGGCTCCTCCCCCAAACCCCGCGCCGATGAGTGTCAGGGCTGCAAATAGCCCAGTGGAATCAATGAGTCACGGAGGCTGGAAATACCGCGCCCCCTCTCCCCTCCCCCACTCCTGCCTGCAGCCCGAGAGAGCTGCACTGGGGAGCGCCTGGCACTCTGATTTCCGTAGCCCTTGGTGGTCTGGGGATCCCTCCAGAGAGCGCCCAGACTCCCTGAACCAGCCAGCCCCCCAGCCAGGTTTCAGCCCAACTCTGCCCCTGAAGCTGTGTGACCTTGGGCCAGTCACTCAGCCTCTCTGGTCCCCAAAGCCCATCTGGTACAAGATGGGCCTCAAGAGGGCAGGCTACCCAGTGCAGCCGGCCAACCTTTGATGTCCCTGTGCCTGGGACAGTGCCTGGCACTTGGTAGCAGGGCTGGCAGTTGGAAGAGAAGGTGATGCAAGGTGTTTCATGGAAATAATTCCTGGATTCCTGCCTAGGTGGGTGTGAGAGTGAAGGGAGAAGGCCCAAGGACACCCAGAATTCTGTGAGGTCTTGAGCTCTACTTGAGCTATCACTACCCCCTCCCCCAAATCTCAAGGAAGTCTTGTCTGTTTATCCTCGTGTTTCCCACCCTAGCAGCCTCCAGCCCCACCACAAGTTTGAGAACTTCAGAAATCTGTGATTCTGTTGTTTATTGTGTGTGCAGGGTACAATGCCAGGACCCTCCCACGTCCCCTCCCCCTCAGTACCCCCAAGAGCCCCTGAATGGTGGTAAGAGGCCACCCCACAGAACACTGACCCAAGAGCGGCAGAGGGCAGAGGCTGGCCCTTCCCCCTCATCCCTGCTTCTGTATGTGGGAGACTGAGCCCAGGTCACTGGGGGCAGCTGGGGCTCCCCAGAATGAAAGCTGACTGGGGTCCCTGCCCTGGCCTGGGGACTAGGAGGGAACTGGGTTGGGGGCTCTTCTTATGATTCCGGCATTCTCCAGCAGAAAGATGTGGGTGCAGGGTGCAGAGGCCACAAGAGGCAGAAGGAGAAGGAGGCCGTTACTCCCCAGCGCCCTAGGAGGGGGTGGGTTGAGAGCAGCTTCCCATGTCCTGGGTTCAAACCCAACCTTCATTGAGTAAGCTGGGTGCTCAACTGGTCAGAGACTCAGTTTCCCTATTGATAAAAATGGAGATTGTAAATCTGATTTTAGAATGTTCTGAATTCAGCCTCAGCCAATGGTAAGGCTTAGTACTTGAAGGACAACGATATGCGTGCGTGCGTGCGTGTACAGGGGGCAGTATACACACACCAAGCCTATAGATTCATAGATTAAAGAGGGGGGAAGGATGGGGGATGCCATGGCCACAAAGGGGAAGGTTGGCAAGAAGCTGGGGTCCAACCTTGAGGACACGAAGCCCCACCCATGCTCTCTCCCACCTCTGTCAGGTGACGTGTCTGCAGAGGAGGCAGCCCCCGGAGCCCAGGCCTCTGGGTGGGGTGAGAAGGGCCAGCCCCACCCCTTGGCCAGCCTTGCCTGGGGCAGGAGCAGGTCACAGACTGCAGGAGCTTCGCATGGTTTATCACGAACCAGCTGTATCGGAAAAACCCCATCTATATACAGACGCAGCGTGGCCCTGCCCTGGCACAGCTGGCTGGATGGGGGCACCAGGTGGGCCGGTGGCCTGGCAGCTGGTTTGGGGCTTGGAGATGGCAAGGGGAGATTTTCCATCCTGGCTGTCTCCTTCTGGCCTCCCTTTTCCCCCCGGGCAGTTCTGAGATAGGCACCTCCACCTGTGATCTCCCTCTGCCTCCCCTGCGCCCCTTCGCCAAGGGGTCACGGGTCCCCCTGCCCTGCAGAGACTCCATAGATCAAAGGATTTGCCCATCTGTCTGTCCGGCAGATTATTTGCCCAGAGATCCTGCTGTTCCAATCCCCCTTCCCCAAAGTGGCTTCTCTGGGATTGCCCTTTCCCCATCCCAATCCCTTTATTCTGGATTAACTGAAAGAGGCCACATCTGTAATCTGGGGGCCATGGGTGGGGCAAGGGGGGGTCCCTGGCCTGCCTTGGGCAAAGCAGAAGGCCTTAGTTGTGGGGGATGACCCACCTGGGGTCTGGGGGGTGTCAGGGCCTGGAGCCTGGGCTGAGATGTCCTGGAGGCTGTCATGAGGGGGTTAGGAAAGCTTCTCTGGCAGGCCAGGGAGGACAGGGTGGGGGAGGGTGGGGAAGGGGAGGCCCTCAGATTTTTATCTCTGTCCGGAAGGTCTGCTGGACGTGCTCTGTGTGTGGGTGGCGTCGCGCCCGGATGGTGAGGCTGCCATCCTCCCTCAGAGCTGAGGTCACTGATGTGGGGTCCACATCCTCCGGCAGCTGGCACTTGTGAGCGAAGGTGTTCATAACCGTGCCGTCAGCTGCCAGCTGGGGAAGGGGTGATGGGTCAGGGCAGGCTTCCCCCAACCCTGTCCTGCTCATGTCAAGCCACAGCCCCTTCTCCCCAGTCTAACCCCAGCTGGGCCCCCACATGCTGAGAGGTTCTGCTCTGGGGTGCAGAGCCAGGGTGATGGTGGCCGAGGGCTATGCAGGGAGGAGGGCTTAAGGAGCCCCAGTGGTTCTGAGGGGTAGGCAAGGGGCTTGGTGGGTGGGGGAGCTCAGAGAAAGGAGGGGGCTCGGTGGCAGAATCAGGGGCTCCTGACCAACAAGGAGAAGATGGCACAGACAGAGCCGAGCCCTCTTGGGTACCTAGACACATCGTGTGTCCACCGCCAGGGCTAGGCCGGCGGCCCCTCCCTCATGACTCGGTCAGCACATAGTGTCCAGAGGAGACTGGGGCGGCTGAGTCACTGACAGGGCTGGCGGGGCTGGCACGTGCCTCCCACTGGTCCTGGTGTCCACCGTCCTTGGCTTCCCTGGCAGGGGCGCCCAGGGGAGGAAGCCAGGCCAGAGGGGATCTGGAGGGAGCCTTGGGCAGACCCTCTCCTCTAGGGCAGCAGTGGCTATAGCCCGCTGGGGGCATCCCTGTCCAGGCCAGGCCACACCCTCCCCCAGGGCATGGGCCTCCTGGGAACTGGGACTCAGAGACCCCAGTGACCCAGTGACCCTGAGACCTGTGGGTGGAGGGAGTGTGGGGCTTGGAGTGTGTGACCCTGAACTGCAGGGCCTCTTCCCAGTCTTTGGCCCAACTCAGGGGTCCCAGGATGAGGGCTGGGCCTCGGGGTCCAGGAGGGAAGAGGGTCTGAGGGGTGTCATGTGAGGGAACCTCCACCACAGCTGCCCAGGTGAGCCCCCCACCTACACGCATGCCCGCCAGAAGAGCTGACCTCACTCAACCTCTGTCTCTCCCCTCTCATCTCCCCCTCTCGCCTCCCCTCCTCAGGTGCCCCCCTGCCTGCATCCTCCACCCCTCTCCCATTCCCCTGTGGCTCCGTCAGGTGCCCTCGGCTCCTGAGGAAAGGATCGGGCGCCTTGGGGCAGAGAGAGGCAGGAACGGGGTCCCGTGGCCCATAGGCTGCAGGAGCCAGGTCTCCCGTTTGCCCTGAAGGAGTTGGCGGAGGCACTGGTCAGGGTCTGGGGTCCCAGGATGGGACACAGGAGTGGGGACTCTGGGCAGAGGGTACAGATGTGGAGGCCGGGGCCCGGGGCGGGGCAGGCTCACCTTCTCAGCCCGCACCTCGATGTGGTTGTTGGAGGTGGTGACGATGATGTCCTCCGGTGAGAAGTCGCTCACATCCACTGCAAACTCATAGGCGTCTCCGAGGGTCTTGATGTTGCCTGGCCCCCCGGAACGGGCTGTGGGGAAGGCTGCCATGAGCTGAGCACAGAGCAGGCTTGCATCCAGAACCCGGGCTTCTGGCTCCTTCTGGGGAAAGGGGCGGCCCCCCCAGGCCTGACCTCCCCCTCAGCTGTTGCTCCTAAACCCCCCTACCCACCCCCCTCACGTCTTGCAGCCCACCTTCTCCATGGTGGGGATGGGGCCTCACCCAGCACAGATGGGGTGAGCGTGTGTATGTGACACTCTCTGTAGCAACCCACCCCAGGCGTGGAGGCTGGGAGATGCGCCCCTGCCCCAACCCCATCCAGCTCTCCGGGGTTCCAGCAAGGATCTGGCCACAGGCCCTGTGTGGCCACTGGCACCATAGCTGTCCCCTGGGCCACAACTGTTCTTTGGAGGCCCGCCTGTTCTGGCCACATCTGTCTCTGTGTCCACATCTGTTCTGGTGGCTGCACATGGCTGCAGCTGTGTAGCACCTGCTCCTGGCAGCTCAGCAGCCACCGCCACTTTCAGAGGTGCCCTGAGCAGGTGTCCCCTACCTGTGTGAAGGTAGGCCAGGGCCCTTCTTACCTGGGAAGGCCAGGGGCTCCGAGCGGGGCCGCATGAAGCTGCCGAAATCCTCAGAGAACATGCTCAAGGCCTTCTCCATGGGCGGGTCCTGGGCCGGGAGGGCGTGGGAGGCTGAGGAGGCCGAGGCCGAGGAGGATGAGGAGGAATGGAAGCTTCTCTCCGCTCTGAAGGTGGAGGAGGTCCTGTGGCTCATCCACGGGCGGGCGGCCGGGCCCCGGCCGGGCGGGCAGGGTGGACAGGAGAGGGTGCGGGCGCAGGCTCCGGGGGAGCGTGCCGGGCCCCGACTGCCGGTGCTTTATAAGGCCTGGCCATCCCTGGGCTCGGGGCCAGCCTCTTGTCTACCAGCTAAATTTAGGCCTCTCCGTGGCCCGGAGGGGGCTGGAAACCTTCTCCAGTGAGACGGCGCTGCTGACAGTCCAACACACGCGGGCCGAGCCGAGCTCCCGGCCGGCATTCCAGGCCGATAACTCCAGCAGGGCCTCCACACGCAGCAGGGTGGGGGCTGAGGCTGTCCCCTTGCCACTCAGACCCCCGTGCCCACCCCGGGAGCTCGTGTGTGTGGTGTTTCTGTGCCTCTGTCTCCCCGTCAGCCTGGGGCTCTCTAAGGACTGTGCCTCCCCCATCAGATTGTAAGCTCCCTGAGGACAGGGTTTTCCCTAGTTCCTGTCCCCTCTCCCCTGAAGTTCCAGCCCTTGGTAAGCGGGGATCTGGGTGGTGGGCAATCATGATGACGGGCCCCAAGCCCCTGGCTCTGGGGAGGGCAGGCGATGCCAGGTCAGGAGGTCAGCAGTGGGTGGAGGACCCCCACCTGCTGGACTCCTGTGTGAGGTGAGGGCTCCTTCCGGCAGGGCAGATGGTGTTTATAGCCATCTCTTAGGAGGGACCGAGACAGCCCTGGGGGGCGAGGGGGGTTCCATCTGCAGGAGTAATTACTGGTGCTGGTGGTCCGTGGAGTGGGGGCAGGGTAGGGCACCGGGCGCAGCTGGGGGCCAGGGCAATGGCTGGAACAAGAGGGGTCTGCCGCTCCAGTGGAGATTCCTGCCTGGCCCATGTCACCCCTCATGGCTGAGGGGGTTCCAGAAGGGCTGCCAGGAAGTTACCAGCACTGAGGCGAGAGGAAAGAGGGTGGGGGCGGGGGTGGGGGGCCCAGAAGTCTGCTGCCCGCCCGCCAGGGAAACAGGAGCCAGTGGCTAAATGCAGACACACTGTCATGGTGCTGAGGGCCTGAGTCACCGCCCCTGGATGTCAGATCTCATTACCCACCCCCGCCCACCCTTCCTCCTCCCCTTCCCCCCATCCCTGAGGCGTCACCCACACATATACCAGATCCATTGGCTTCAGTGGCCAGGAGGGACCCTGAAAGGTCATCCGGGCCATTCCCCTGTCTCTGGGCATGCCTCTCCCTTCAGATCACAGGGATAGAAGGAACTTCAGAGATGATCCAATGTGTTGGATCCCAAACCTGCTGGGGCAGCCCAGTCACCTGGAGGAACTTGTAACAAACACATACTCTTCCCCCTGCACCCAGAGATTCTGATTTGGGGTCTTAGGAAGGGACCAGGAATCTGTTTCCATCAGCTCCCCACATGGCCAGCCCACAGGCCAGTGTTTGGAAGCCACACGTCGCTCAGCAGATTTTTCTTGAACACCTACTCTGTGCCAGGTGCTGTTCTAGGCTCTGGGGGACTCGTGATGGATGAGGCAGAGATAAGCCCCTGCCCCATGGCTCCCACGCTCTCCTCATTGGACAGAAGAGGAAACTGAGGGCCGGCCCCACGGTGTAGCGGTTAAGTGTGCGCGCTCCGCTGCTGGCAGCCCGGGTTCGGATCCTGGGCGCGCACCCATGCACCGCTTGTCAGGCCGTACTGTGGCGGCGTCCCACATAAAGTGGAGGAAGATGGGCATGGATGTTAGCCCAGGGACAGTCTTCCTCAGCAAAAAGAGGAGGATTGGCATGGATGTTAGCTCAGGGCTGATCTTCCTCACAAAAAAAAAAAAAAAGAAGAAGAAGAGGAAACCGAGGCTCTGAGTGGTGAAAGATCAGTTGGGGGTGGCAGAGCTGCTCTGGCTTCACACCTGCTCTCACTGTCCACTGCTGCTGGGGCTCGATGCAGAAGAGGGGGAAGTTGGGGGCTGGCATGTGGGGGAAATGGCTTTGGGAGGGACTTGCCACAGGCACCGGATCCCCTTGCTGCCTTCTTGCCGGTTTCCTGGTGCTCACAGGGCCGGGGGGTGAGGGCGCGGACATGCAGTGCTGGCTGGCCGATGCTGGCTGTGAGACTGTAGCCAGCAGCTGCCTGAGGCTAGAGACTGAAGTTTGAGATGGCAACAGGGCGGCCGGTTATCCTGTGTACACAGTCAACAGGTTGGGGTGGCCAAGGCAACGGTGGGCCCAGGTCCATGGAGAGCAGCGAGCCCCGACCCCACTTCCCACAACACACACAAATGTTCCTATTGTGAACTGACTTGGCCTGGCATCTAGGGGCAGAGGGTGGCTCAGGGTCCCAGGATTTTAACAAGTCACTGATGGGCCATTGTGATTTTCAGAGGGGAGCTTTGTCTGCGGGAGTAGGGGAGGGCAGTTTTCCCAGATCTCTTACCCAAATCTTCCAAAAGTGGCCTCAGACACAAATCCTCTGCTTTATGCCCAAACCCTTGCCCTGATTGATTAAGCCACAGGAACTGGAGGAGCTCCAGGCAGGAGAAAAGCCAGACAGTCTGGATCTGGGTTCAGCCTCTGCTGTGTGACTTTAGATGAGTGACTGCACCTCTCTGATCCTCTATTTATCATCTGTGAAATAGTGATGCTGCCCCCAACTCACAGAGTGCTGGGAGGATGAACTGAGTTGCAGATGTAGTGGGCCTGGCACATAAAATGTGCTTGTTCCCTCGGCATGCCCCCCGATGCCCTGGATCCTGCCCTCTGTTGGGGTGGGGCAAAGTCTGTGGCATTTACCCAGCAGCGCTGAGGTTTGAGAGGCAGTTTTCTGAGACTGGAGGGTCTGGACACGAGGATCAAGTCCAAGTTCTTTCCCAGGCTTCGGAGGCCCCAGCTGCCCCAATTCACTGCCATGCTTCAAATCGTCGGCTACTTCCTCACCTCTGAGCAAGGCGGGCAGTCAAGTGGAGCCACAATGTGCAGGTGTTGGAGTGAGGCAAACCTAGGTGGGATCCTGGCTCTGCCCCCTCGGCCTCTGTGACTTGGACAAGCAGCCCCACCTCTCCAAGACTCCATGTCTTTAAAGCCAGATAACACAGCCGGCTTGTTAGGTCTCCCTGAGCACTCACTGATTTGGGGGAGGGTTGAGCAATGCCCGGAGCATAGCAAGGATGCAGTAATGATAGCGCCTTTGCCCGGTCCTTCCGCCTGCTCTGCCAGCATTCTCTCCTCTCCCTTCTCTGCTTTTTCAAGCTCCTTCCATGCCCAGCACTGAGAATCCAGGGCCCCAACCCTCAACCCCCACAGATGACCCCTCACTGTCCTGCTGTGTGCATGAACTTCTCCCTCCCAGGCCTCTCGTCCTCCAGTCTGCAGGCCGGAGCTTATGGCCTGCAGTGGCTCCGGCAGGTTTTAGGGGAGCCCCTCTCCTGGTCCCTCTTGGCTGCTCTGGCCTGCAGAGAGCTCAACTGGCCGGGGCAGTTCTGGTTGGTTTGTCAAGGACATTCTTAATGGCTACTGTAAACCCTGGCGGGGGGGGGGGGGGGGGGCGACAGGGGGGGCCAGGATGTTGATTGGTGGAATACACACCTGTCCAGGTGCACCTGAGCTGCAGGCAAAGGAGTCTCTGTTAGAGGAGGGCCAGCTGGGGCCACAGCAGGGCGGACGGACAGAGGTGAGGGGGCGCTGGGTGCAGGGCTGGGGCATGGGCCTGGATGGAACCTGCCAGGGCCAGGGCAGGCAGAGCAGGAGTGGGAGGCTGGGGGGCAGGGAGCCAGCACCTCATTTTGACTCTCACAAGCTCTCCTTCTGGGCCCGGGGTTTTCCTGCCTCTGTAGCCTGAGCTGGTTGTGGGGGTGCTCAAAGGATGGGCATGGGGGTGGGTCAGAGCAGTCCATGGGGACCCCACAGAGAGAGAACGACTCTGCTGGGCAAGGAGACTGCTCTGAGCAGTAGAAGCACCCATGCGTCCAGGGAGTGTAGGAGCAGTGGGGGTGGCACTCTGAGGCTTGGGGGTCTTGCCTTGACATGGACGGCCCAGCCAGGAACCCCCAGCCCCACCCCGCACATAACACAAACATGCACACCCTCGGGGACACCCACTCAGTGATGAGGGCACACCAGACCTCTGTCCCCTCCTGATAACTTCACACACACACACACACACACACACGTACACACACACACAGGAAAATATCACCTTTCCTTTTATCTGGGAAGTAGCAATATTGGAAGGGCCAAGTGGCAGGATGAAGGTGTCGGAGCAGCTCACCAAGAGTCCGTCTGTCTGTCCACTCCATCAGGGACTTGATGGAGGAGCTGGTAGGGCTGCATGAGGGCTCCTCGGGGAACCCTGTGACTCTTCGGGAGCTATGGGTCCCGTGTCCCCAAATCCGCCGAGGCATCCGAGGTGAGAGCTGGGTCCCCTTCCCCTCCATGGAAGGACCCTCAGGACGTCCCCCATACCCGGGCCCCACCTCCCCCACCCCCCTTGGAGCCCAAGAGCTGCCCCCATCCTTTCATTTGCCCCTGGACATCACTGCCCAGAGTCTCTGGGTAGCAGAGAGGGAAGGGATCTCTCTGTCTGTCCATCTGCCTGTGGGTCAGATATGCTAGACATCTGCCCTCTGCCTTTTGGGAATGCAGCCCCGAGGCCTCATCACTGGGCCAGGGGCCTTGCTGGGGTCCAGTGGGTGCTCTCTGGCCTGCCACCAGGGGCCCTGTAGGGCTGGGACACAGGTCCTGGGACAATACAGGAGCCTTGCTAGGCTTTCGTGTCCTCTAAGCTATGGACCCTGCGGAGATGCCAGAGAAAGCCATAGCCCCAGCACTCTCTCCACACCCCTGCCCCCGATCATTCTTCCATAAGAACCCCATATGGGGCAGGGTGGGGAGGGCAGAGGGCCAGGGGCCCCCGGGGGGGGGGCCAATAGGCCTGGCTCCCACTGTGCTGCCACCTTCACTTGCCACAAATCCTGCTCTGCCCCTCGTGAGGCAGAGCACCCTCCGGGCTACCCTGGACTGGACCACCTGGCCCCAGTGCCACACCACCCCTGCCCTCCCTGCCCTGAGCCTGAGCAGGCCTCCAGGGAAGAGGCTGTCCATGCCCTCCCTGGCCCTGGGCTACGACCCCATGCCCCTGCCCCAGGTGGCCTGCAGTGGCTGAAGCAGAAGCTGTTCCGGGTGGGTGAGGACTGGTACTTCCTGATGACCCTTGGGGTGCTCATGGCCCTGATCAGCTACACCATGAGCTTCGCTGTCGACCGTGTGGCTGGAGGTAACGCCTCCCTGGCACGCACGCCTGCTCTGGACTCAGGGCCTCCAAGCACGCTCTTGGGATGCCAGAGGGGCTGCCAGGTGCAGCGGAGGTGGGGGAGGGCTCTGGGTGGGGAGGAGGCCTGGGTCTGGTGCTGGCTTTGCTCTTGACTTGCTGTGTGACTCTGGACAGACTCCTGCCTGTCTCTGGGCCTTAGTCTCCTCATCTGTACAATGAATGAGCGAGACTTGAATATTCCCAAAAGCCCTTCTTCATCTGAGCTCAGTGCTCACCCGTTCCTGCCATCCCTGCTCCCTCTCCTCGCTCCCTTCCGTATGCTCCAGCAGGCTCTCTCCACCCTGAGGTCTTCTGGGAAGAGGGGGCCTGGGGCAGGAAGGGTCTAACATACCTTCTCTGGGAGACTCGCTCAGGTGCCATTATGAGGACCTGGCAGGCACCAGACATCCTCTGAGGTGCTTCACGCTCTATCTCATTTCTCACAATGACTCTGTGAGGGAGAGACCATCACTAGCCCATTTGACAGACAGGGAAACAGAGGCTCAGGGAGGTTGAGTTGCTTGTTCAAGGTCACTCATCTGGGGAGTTGCAAAACTGGGATATGGATCCAGGGTCCTACTCCTGCCTCCTCCTCGGGATCTGCCACTCACTGGGCGCCCTGGGCCTCCCCTCTCCGAGCCTCCACTGCCCGGTCAATGAGTGGGCACCTGGGGGCTGCAGGGCCTGTGGATGGCCCCCTGACTCCTGGCCGTCCCCAGCACACAATTGGCTGTACCGGGAGATTGGGGACAGCCACCTGCTCCGGTATCTCTCCTGGATCATGTACCCCATGGCCCTGCTCTCCTTCTCCTCCGGCTTCTCCCAGAGCATCACACCCTTCTCTGGAGGTGAGCCTAGTCGCTACCCCATTTGCCTGCACTGCAGTCCCCCTGGCCACAACTTTTTCGTATCCTTTGGAGCTTCTGATGGGGGGAGGCAGGGAGCAGTAACCCCATTTCAAAGCCAGAGAAGCCAGGCTCAGAGGAGTTGTGTCACTTGCCAAAAGTCACACAGCGAGAAGGCCAGATCTTGACTCTTGGGTGGCTGCTGGCTCTGCTCCCTTTCTGAGGGCTCCTCTGGCCGGTGACAGGGAGCACTGGGGGCAGGTTCCCTGGCAGAGCCAGTGCCATGGTGTCCCCAGGGAGGGGCTTAAGGAAGGGCACAGCTCCCCCAGGCCTCTCAGCTCTGCCTCCAGCTCCAGGCCAGGGGAGGCCGTACCTCAGGGGACGTCTGGGGTGGCCTGAGATTCTATGCTAGGTACCCCCATCCTGCCACAGCTGTCTGCCAGTTCAACTGGAAGAACATGGACAACTCACGTCCCCTCTCTGACCCTCAGTTTCCTCCTCCAAAAGATGCATTTATGACTCCTAACTCACAGGGTTTAGGAGGACCTGACAAGATCAGGATGCGAAACACTGTGCAGGGTGAGGTGTTAAGAGTTTAATCTAGAGATTGTCCCTCCTCTTGCCCCCTGCCCCTTCCCTCCAAGGTTCTGGAGTCCCAGAATTGAAGGTCATCTTGTCGGGGGTGGTCTTGGAGGACTACCTGGATATCAAGAACTTCGGGGCCAAGGTGGTGGGCCTCACCTGCACCCTGGCCAGCGGCAGCACCATCTTCCTGGGCAAAGTGGTATGGGCAGGCGTGAGAGCGCCCCACCCGCCCCTGCCCTGCCCTCCTGGCCCTCTGCCTTTTCCCCATCACCCCCCGAAGCTGGGTCAGCTGGGCCTTAGGCCAGTGCCTGTGTTTGAAGGCTCAGTCTTGGGGAGGAGGAAGGCAGGGTCCCCAGAGTGTGACAGAGTAGCTGGGAAGATGGAGGAGGAGGGTGTGGGTGGGGCAGCCATGCTGTCTCTGGATGAGGCTCCCTGTAGCCCCTAACCCTGGACCCCGAGGGGGAGGAGCATGGCCGGCTCCCCCCAGAGGACGAGCCCTGTGCCCTGTGCCCACACTGCCCCTGGCAGGGCCCCTTCGTGCACCTATCTGTCATGATGGCTGCCTACCTGGGCCGTGTGCGTGCCAAGGCCATTGGGGAGTCCGAGGTAAGGGGCTCGAGGAAGACCCCCTTGGAGGAATGAGAGGGAGGGGAGGGCGGGGCTGACTCTGAGCCCTGGACTCTGGATCCTCCCAGAACAAGAGCAAGAGAAATGAGATGCTGGTGGCGGGGGCGGCGGTGGGCGTGGCCACAGTCTTCGCAGCACCCTTCAGCGGTGAGACCCCCCCCACGCCCCTCCCCCTGCTCCCTGGGGCTCCCACACACCCCTCCTGTCCCCTGGCACGGCCAGACTGGCCAGCTCACTCCTCTGCCCAACTGAAGGGCCTGGAGGAGGGATGGGGCCAATTCAGGTCTTGGTCCTTACTGCAGTCTTGGCACAGGTGCAGCCACCCCAGGCCGGGGTGGGGGTGGGTGTCGAGAAGCTTCAGGGTGACATTAGACAGACTTGGGTGTGAAATCCGGCTCCCCTGTGTGACCCTGGCCAGTGAGTTCCCCTCTCCCAGCCTCATTTCTTCATGTGTAAAATGGGGATCGTAACAGCGCTCGCCCCCAGGGCTGTTGGGATTGAGATGGCAGAGAAGGGCGCACACATGGGTGCTCCCTGGGCGGTGGGGCTCCTGCCCTGCCCTCCTTTCGCTTCAGCTCGGGACCAAAGAGAAGGGGCTGCCGGAAGCAGCCCTGTCTGGGGGCTGTGCAACAGGACAGGAGGGCTCAAGGCGCCGGGTGGTGGTGGCGGTGGGGTCTGTCTAAGCTCAGTGTCGCCCCCAGGTGTCCTGTTCAGCATCGAGGTCATGTCTTCCCACTTCTCCGTCTGGGATTACTGGAGGGGCTTCTTTGCCACCACCTGCGGGGCCTTCATGTTCCGCCTCCTGGCAGTCTTCAGCAGTGAGCAGGGTGAGCCCCAGCTGACCACCGGAGACCCCAGCCCTGCCTCCCCTCCCCCTTCCCTCCCCCCCACTCCCCCCTCCTCACTCCTCCCTCCTCCCCTCCCTCTCTCCTTTCCCTCCCTGCCCTCTCCCTCCCTCTTCCCCTCCCTCCTCCCTCTTTTCTCCCCTCCCCTCCCCCCTTCTTCCTCTTCCTTTCCCTACCTCCTTCTAGGAGGGTGGAAGGGAGCTGGCCTGTATTGGGCATGAAGGATGGGGGTCCCTGAAGGTAGAAAGGGACAAAGCTGGGCAGGGTGGCAGGGGCCAGGTTGTGGGGGCCTTGAACACCACTAATGGGGTACTCAAGGGCAGGACCTGGCACTACCTCCACCCCTGCCTGTGAATTCTGGGTCTGGCTCGGGTGGGAATGTGGTCCCTCCTCCTCACTCCTGTTCTTCCCTAGAGACCATCACCTCCCTCTTCAAGACCAGTTTCCGGGTGGACGTCCCCTTTGACCTGCCAGAGATCTTCTTTTTTGTGGTGCTGGGGTGAGTGGGTGCCTTGGGCCCCTCAAGAGCCCAAGTGGGGGCCCCAGGCCCAAACTGCTGCCCTTGATCTTGGGGAGGGCTCTGGACTCACCTGCCTTCCCCCCAGGGCCATCTGTGGCATCGTGAGCTGTGCTTACCTCTTCTGTCAGCGAGTGTTCCTGGGCTTTGTCAAGAACAATCCGATTATCTCCAAAATGATGGCCACCAGGTCGGCTCTGGGCGGGGGCTGGAGACCTCTCAGGGAGCCCCCCTCCCCAGGAGTCTCAGCCTTCTGAGCCCACAGCTCCTTTATATAGAAAGCCCCATGCCCTGACTGAACCCCCATCCTCCTACTGAGCCCCCAATACCCCCAGCCCACACCCCGCTTATGGAGCCCCCATCTCTGCACTAACACTTTCTTCAGGTCCCCACAGTCACTGCTCCCCCTTATCCGGCTACCAACCCCTCCATTTAACCCTACCCCTCCTGAGTCCTCACCCTCTCACTAACCTCCCACCCCCCACTGAACCCCTGCTCCTCGCCTGTGCCCCAAGCCCCTTACGGAGGCCCCTCTCCTCCCCAAACCTTGTCTCCCCCCCGGGCAGTGACACTGGAGCTCTCCCCCTCCCCACAGCAAGCCTCTGTGTTCCGCCCTGGCGGCCTTGATTCTCGCCTCCATCACCTACCCGCCTGGCTTGGGCCGCTTCATGGCGTCTCGGGTAAGGGGTGCTGAGCTGGGGCGGTGGGATTGGGGAACCCCATTCCCCCATTCGTGGCCCACTGTGCCCGTCATCTCACTTATTCCCCACAACACATATAAGGGGGATGCTTGGGTGTCATTTTACAGATGAGGATGCTGTCGCTCCAGGAGGTTCAGAGCCCTTCCCAAGGTCCCCCCGCTCTGACGGGAGGTGGCAGAGGAGGGTTTGAGGGGGGGTCAGGCGGTAAGGGGTAGCGAGGCTGCTCCCTGGCCCCTCATGCAGGATTCTGACCTCCCCCTACTCCAGCTGTCCATGAATGAACTTCTGAACTCACTGTTAGACAACAACTCGTGGGCACTGATGACCCGGAACTCGTCCCCGCCCTGGCCTGCGGAGCTCGACCCCCAGAACCTGTGGTTCGAATGGTGCCACCCACAGTTCACTATCTTTGGGACCCTCTCCTTCTTCCTGGTTATGAAGGTGGGTGCCCTGGAGGTATGCACAGAAGAGCCAAGACTAGCCTTGAGTGGGATGAGGGTGCCTCCCCACTACACGTAGCACAGGGCCTGGGCCTTCACCCAGACTCCCTGATCTGCCTGCTGCCCGCTGTGTGGTCCTGGGCAAGTCACTTCAGCTCTCTGAGCCTCAGTTTTCTCATCTTTGAAACGGGGTAGTTATTGTGTCTACCTCAAAGGGAAGGTCGAGAGGGAAGAAAGGAAAGCCCGAGGCATGGTGCCAGCACACAGTAGGCACTTTGTCAGGGTGAGGTTCCTTCCCTGACGCCAGACACTAGCCATGGGCATGTGCGTGGGCATCTTCCTTCTCCCTGGGGAACTCTCCTGTCCCCTGTCCAGTCCCTCCCTTGCCCACCCTTGTCCAGTTGCCTCTGACCTCTGCCCCTCTGGCTTCCCACCACCCACAGTTCTGGATGCTGATTCTGGCCACCACAATCCCCATACCCGCCGGGTACTTCTTGCCCGTATTCATCTTCGGTGAGTCTGGGATCCTGAGAGTCTGAGAGGTTCTGGGTTATTGGGGCAGGGCCATGGCTCCTGGTCCACCCCCTCCCTCCCCAGGATGGTGCTGAGGTTGGTCCCCAGGAATGGAGGGCTCTGGGGGCTGGTTCAGCCCAGCTCCCCCTCCTCACCCTACTTCTGTGGCCAGGAGCTGCCATCGGGCGCCTCATAGGGGAGGTCCTCTCTGTCGCCTTCCCTGAGGGTATCGTGGCTGGAGGGGCCACCAACCCCATCATGCCTGGCGGGTATGCGCTGGCAGGTGAGTGGGCCGGGTCCCCAGTGGGGGGGCAGACATTGTGGGGCTGGGCCGGACCTGGAGAATCAGCCAGTGGTTCTTCAGGGCATGGGGTGGTCACCAAGTCCCCCTTCCCTGAGCCCCCATTACTCTCTCTAGCTCCTGTCCTGTCCCTGCTCCGCCATCCCCTCGCCTTCTGCCTTCCCCCTCGCCAAGCTCAGGCACTGGGGTGCTTCCAACAGTGGCCAGCATGTGCCTCTGGACAATTCCCACCCTGGCGCATGGCCATAGCCACACCAGCCTTGCCCTCTGCATGGGGCTGGCCCCTGGCCTGAGTCACCCATCCTGGCTCTGCCCCCGGCAGGGGCTGCGGCCTTCTCAGGGGCTGTGACCCACAGCATCTCCACGGCGCTGCTCGCCTTTGAGATGACCGGCCAGATCGTGCACGCACTGCCCGTGCTGATGGCGGTGCTGGCCGCCAACGCCATTGCCCAGAGCTGCCAGCCCTCCTTCTACGACGGAACCATCATCGTCAAGAAGCTGCTGTACCTTCCATGGATCCGGGGCCGACACATCAAGTGAGCGGTGCCTGCCTCAGGCTGCCTGACGGGGGTGATGGTGTCTGAGTGGGTGGAGGCCTCCCCCAAAAACCCCACTGCGGCTGACCTCGGCCATGAGTGGTTGAGGAGGCCGACACCCAGCTGCCCTCTTATCTTCACTCTCCCCAGTTCCCTCTGTGATCTTGGGCGAGTCCTTGGCCTCTTGGGCCTCAGTGTCTTCCTAGTCGTCAGTCTGTCTTCACAACAGGAGGACAGATATTACCCATCTGTTGGACGAGGGAACTGGGGCTCAGAGAGGTCCATGTCTTGCTCCAGGTCCACAGAGTCAGCACCCGATCTGGGAGGTGCCCTCCCCTCTCCCCACTCCTGCTCAGCTGTTCTCACTGGGACGGTGGGAGCTGGAGGTAGAACTAGACTGGAAACGGGCTTGGAGGTCCTCCCTCAACCAGATAGGAACAGAGCAGCCTCTGTCCCCCGAGAAGCAGGACTGAGAGGCTCTGAGAGTCCCAGGTCCAAGGCCCGGCTCCAATCACGTGAAAGCCGCTGCCTTGCTCCAAAGCTCAGTTTTCCCATCTGTAAAATGGGGGTGGTTGCTCCAGCGATTTTCAAACTTCAAAGCTTTTTTCTATAATACTTTTCTTCAAATGAAATTCTCTGGGGAAGGCTGCTGGATAACAGGGACCAAAGTGAAGCTGATCTGGGGGAGACAGGGGGCCGGGGGCTGGGAATCCAGAGCCGGGCCGTGATAGGTGAGCCGGTCCCCAGGTTCCTCCCCACCTTGGGGGTCCAGGAGTTGCTCCTTCCAGGAATCTCTCAGTCCCTTCCCACCTTTGCTCGAGAACCAGCAAAGCTCCCCCCAGGTCCCCCCGCCTCGTCCTGGGGTCTGGCGACCCCCGTACTCCAGGACCTGACGGGGCACCCTCTGCCTCCAGCTCTCACGGCATGATCGTGGGGCACTTCATGAACTGCACCATCACCACGCTGGCCAAGGACACGCCACTGGAGGAGGTGGTCAAGGTCGTGACCTCCACAGACACGCCCGAGTTCCCCCTGGTGGAGAGCACAGGTGCCAGCGGGAAGGGGGAGCATGAGTGGGGAGGGGACATTCCCTCTGCCTTCCTCTTGCACCCTGGAGGGTCAGGCCCAGGACAGGGTAAGCAGGACATTGGACTTGTCAAGCACCGGAATCTGAATCCAGGCTTTGCAACTGTGTGGCCTTGGGCAAGTCACTTCACGTCTCTGAGCCCCGGCTTCCTCGTTGGTAAAATGGGGGTAACAACCACCGTGCCTTGGGGTGGTTGACATATTTATTTATTTATTTTTAAATTTTTATTTATTTATTTTTTCCCCAAAGCCGCATAGATAGTTGTATGTCATAGTTGCACATCCTTCTAGTTGCTGCATGTGGGACGCGGCCTCAGCATGGCCGGAGAAGCAGTGCGTCGGTGTGTGCCCGGGATCTGAACCCTGGGCCGCCAGCAGCGGAGCACGCACATTTAACCACTAAGCCACGGGGCCGGCCCTGGTTGACGTATTTAAATGAGAGATGAGAGGATGCTTGTGAGGCTTTCCATGAACAGCTCTGGGAATTCCAGAAACCAGGCCTGGTGTGCTCGGGCAGTGGGAGAGGATGGTGGGGATACTCCTAGGGTCTCCCAGAGGGCTCCTTCCCTCAGTCTCCCCTTCAAGAGTTCCCCAGCTGAGTTTCCTCCCCCAGTCCTCATTGCCATAAGAAAAATATCTTTTTAAAGAAAAATGAATGGGGGCCCTTATTTAAAGACACGTAAGCTGAATATTGGGGGAGGATTTAGCTAGAGCATCATTTCCCACTGGGACACATACAGTACGGGTGGGAAAGATAAGCTGGGGTTGGGGCGGAACAGCTACGTCTACTCAGGGCCACTGTCAGCCATACGTCCCCTTTGTGCAAATGAGACAATATGCACACTCGGCAAGCATAGCACAGCTGGATTTTGGTCCCCACTTGTCCTTTGGGCAGGTACCTTGTGCAGTGAGCAACCTGCACAACCGTATGGGTCACCCCCGTACCCACCCTAAGAGGCATAAAGCCGCTGACAAGCAGCAGAGCCATGGGTAAACCCCTTAAGCTCTATGAACTACAGTTTCCGTATCTGGAAAATAGGGATCAATACAGTGTGGAGCTGTCAGAGGTTCTCATCCCAAATGCCAGGCACTTCTCCCCACCCAAATTGGGACACCTTTAACATTATCCCGCAGAACATGCCACATATTCCACTTGAAAATATTTGCTTATGGAGGACCCTTCCGAGAGGCTTCGCCTCCTGGAACAAAGACAGAACTGGCCTCAAAGACAAAGTCCACTTTTACCCCTAGAGCCACAGGAAGCAAAGAGCTCCCAACTGTGGGACCCGTTGCTTACCCAAGAAATAGCTTTAATTGTTTGTAAAGGGGAGCATCTATAGGTCTGGTTAAAAAGTTTTAATTTTATTGGACAAGGAGTAAAAATACCAGGCTGTCCCCTCAAAACCAAATACCTGTAAACCCCAGTGACACCCTGGAGTGAGGCTTGCCAAGCCCCCAGCACAGAGTAGGACCTCAGAACGTGGTGGCCTTCCCGGTTCATGCCTACTCTGAGCTGAGCCAGATGGGAAACTTCCTGTGGGAAACGAGGGACAAAGCCCACTTCTGACACACAGATGTCTTCATACGGGTGTCCGAAACCTGCTCCTGCCATGAGGCCCTGCCACCTGGGGAATCTCAGAGTGGCAAGTTCTCTCCCAGCCCCTGACAGCCTTACCCAGCTGCCCTCAGCTACCACACCTCCGTGTCAGAAGCTGAGTGACTTGGGCAAGACAATTAACCTCTCTGTGCCTCTGAGCCTCAGTTTCCCCATCTGTAAAACGAGTGATAATAGTTCCTGACCCATAGGCTGCTGTAGGTTCCTGAGAGACGTCAGAACGCCCAGCACAGGTCTTGGCAGGTGCCCAGTAAATGCCAGTTTTTTCTTCATAATGAGTCCCTCCCTCTCCCTCTCGTCTTGCGCAGAGTCTCAGATCCTGGTGGGTGTCGTGCAAAGGCCCCACTTGGTGCGGGCCCTCCAGGCTGAGCCGCCTTCCTGGGCTCCAGGACGGCAGGTGGGTGCTCCTGTGGGAAGGCGGTAGGGGGTCAGCAGGGTTGGGAGGGGAGGGACCCGCTGATCTTCTGTGGGAGAGGCGGTCTGAGAGGGGGAGCCTGGGGAAGGGGGAGGCTGGCCCAGGCCCCATCACCCTTTCCCCATCCCCAGTGGTGTCTCCAGGACATCTTAGCTGGGGGCTGCCCAGTGGAGCCAGTGACCCTGAAGCTGTCCCCAGAGACCTCCCTGCACCAGGTAATGGGGAGAATTGGGCATGCGGGCAGACAAGGACCCTGGGACACAGGGGAGGAGCCTGAGAGGAAACTTAGGCTCCGTCTTCCCGGCAAGCTGTGTAGTCTGTTCCTCCTGGGCCTGCCTCCTTGTGTGCAGAACGGGCATAGCAGTTCCTCCCTCTCCGAGCCTCACTCCCAGGGTTGTGGGGATGATGCAGAGACTGGGAAAGTGGGAGGGCTTGGGAAACAGAAGCCTCTGGGTGGAGAGAGACAGTGGTTAAAGTATGTCTTTGCATCAAGACACACGTGGGTTTCAATTTTAGGTCCACAACATTCTCCCTGTGTGATCTTGGCAAATTACTTAATCACTCTGAACACTGATACCTCCCCAACCCCCGCAAGCACAAAGCCTGGAACATGTGGTCGGGGAGGGGCAGAAGCAGGTTGGGGACCTGGGGGTGGTCAACCCCCCTGTGCCACTGGATGATGCTGGATGAACCTTTCTGCTAGTTCCAAAGGAACTGGCCCCTTGCATGGGCTCTGAGGACTCCTAGTGGTGACGTTGGATATTGCAGGCCACTAGGAGTCATACTGGTTGTCTTGGACCCACCATCACGTCCCGCCCGGCTTCCTAGGCTTGGGAGACATGGTGGCATGGGCACTGCTGGGACAGAGCCCTGGCCAGGGCCTCCACCTCTGCTCAAAGCCCCCAGGCTAGGGAGGAATTGAAGTGAGGGTTGGGGTGGGTGCCACCTGTCCTCCAGTGTTTCCTAACAACCCCTCCAGGCACACCACCTCTTGGAGCTGTTGAACCTTCAGTCCCTCTTCGTGACATCTCAGGGCAGAGCTGTGGGCTCCGTTTCTTGGCTGGAGGTACCTGGGTCCCCAGGGTGGAGCACAGCACACTCAAGTATGCCGGGGAGGTGGGGGGCACCAATATCCTCCCATCCCAATTTGGAGGGGCTTCATGGGATTCTGATGAGCCCCGCTTCCTGGCCCAGAGTGGCCACTGGGCCTGGGTACCTCTACCTTATTTTGTGGCCAGTGGCCAGCCCTGCCACTCTCTGGGCCTCAGTGATCCCATCTACGCAATGGGGAGGCACCAGCTCTAACATTCGCCTCAGAATTAACCCTTGGGGGAGTCCAAAAAGGCTGGAGCCCCCACTCTCCACCTCCTCTACATCCTCCCTCCAAAAATACCCTTTCTCTGTTCTAGTTGGAGAAAGCAATTTCCAACCTCACAAATCCACCGGCCCCAAAGTGAGCCAGCCTGGCAAGATGAAACAGGGCACCCAGCTGCCCCGGTGAGGGAGATTATTGCCTCTCTTCCCCCACCACAACACACCCTTCCCCTCCAGCCAGCTCAAGTCTTCAGTGAAGCAGGCAGCTGTAACCTAGCACTGAAGAGGGCCCCATATTCACCATGTCCCATCCCGGATGGGACAAGTACCACATGACTTCAAGGACAAATCCTGCCCTGGACAGAGCTCAGAACGCGGGACAGCAGAGATCCAGTGTATGGTGGGCGCTCGATGAAAGTTCATCAAATTCACAACGAAGAGATTGGTGTATGCCGTCACCAAGGGCAGGCACAGATGTCCTCTGGGGATTGTCTGACTCCCAACCAGAGGGAAAAAATTTTTCCTCAGAAAAATAAAGCCGATCCCCAGAGCCACAGTTCGTCCCTCATCTCAGCTTCACAGGCGTTGACTTGGCACCTCAGCTCCTTACCTGTGCTGGCCCTGAGCCAGCTCTTGGGCCAGTGGCGGTCAGGTGGGCACTGCAGGCCTAGGTCCCTGGTCTCCCACTCTTCCTCATGCCCTCCTTCCTGGCAGGGAGATGTGGGGGAGAGCGGGTCCCCCACCAAGTCTTACGATGTTTGTCCTCATTTATAAACAGGACCAGTGACCTTCACCCCAGCCCCAGCCTCCTCCTTGGCTGAGCCAGGGCTGACAAAGCAGGGTCTCCGGGTGTGGCTCCATGGCGAGTCCACAGGGCCTTGGGCATCCTCCATGGGGACTCTCCTGGTTGAGTGGCAGCAGGTTGACCGGCTGTATGTATGTTGGGGGTAGGGGCCCTCCCCTAAGTCCCATAGACCCCACCCCCCAGGGGCCCTGAGGATACACCTTCCCCAGCAGAGACCAGGCCAAGTCCATCCAGGGTGAATCCATCACTTTAATGCCTTCAGGGACCCTTCAGGGAGATGGGAGGAGGGTGCAAGGAGGCAGGGGCACCAGGGTTCAGAGAGTGAGGGACGGATGGACACTCTAAGGAGAGAGGTATCCTCGTGATGACAGCTGAGGAGCAGATGCTCAGCTACCCGAAGAGGCTACCCCACCGCTGATGGGGGCAGGAGCACAGAGGGAGATGGGAAGGGACTGAGCCCCGAGTCAAGGCAGGGTCCCCAGGCCCCACTCCACCTGGGTCTCCCAAGCCCTTCCCTGGCTGTCTGTCTGGGGTCCTGGCTGTCAGCTCCTCTGGCTGGCTTGCCCTGGTGTCTGCTGAGAGTCCTTGAACTCGCTGATGGCAGAAACCCTGCAGGGAAGGTGCCCACCTGAGCCAAGTAAAGAAGGGAGGGGGAGATTATGGCTCCCACTGCTGGGGGCAGGTCCACGGAGGCACAGAGTGGTCCACAGGGACTGCTGGCCCCCCATCCACGCTGCAGCCACCCTGTGCCTGCCCTCACGGGTCAAGAGATGCCCAGCCTGGACCCCGGCATCCTGATAAGCCTGGGCTGCCCTGCAGGCAAGGTCACGGTGAGAGTGGGCTCCGGGTGGCAGAGCCCCGGCCTCAGTTATAGAACACGTCATCCTCCTCCTCTGAGAGGGAGCCGCTGTCCACCGAGGGCAGGGAGCCCTGCAGGTGGGCCCCCACCTCGGGCTCCGGGCCCCCCGGCAGCCGCCGTCGATGCTGCTGCTCGGGGCTGGGGGGCTGTGGGGTGGCAGCTGTGATGGAGGGCTCCTCAGGTGAGGGCCAGTCGTCGGGGGAGAGGCCAGGGGAGGAGAAGGCCAGAAGACTGTCATCCTGTGAGGGACCGCTCAGAACACTGTCCTGAAGATAGACGCTCTCCAAGTCTGGAAAACCAATGGGGGGTGGGGGTGAGGAACGGAGTCCCGGACCCCGCTCCTTGCCCTCACCTGGTGTGTGAGGGAGGGCAGGGGGCAGACCCACAGCCAAACCCTGCTTTGTCACTGCCGAGCTGTGTGACCTTGAGCAAGTCACTGAACCTCTCTGAACCCCCGCTTCTCCTTGGGGGTTACAGGAGTGGTGGCGGCAGTGAGTGGAGTGGTTAAGAGCAGGCTCTGTATCGAATCCTTCTGCACCCTGAGAATTGGGACAACCAGTGCTCTTCCCGGGCCTCGTTCCCTCTCCTCCCCTCAGGTCAGAGGGAGGATTAAATGAGATAAAGGGAATGCAGGCTGCACCCAGAACCGAGGCTTGCTGAAGCTCTCAACAGTACCCCGGGTTCTAGAAAGGTGGTTGGTTGCGCTTGGTGTTGAGGTTCAGATCCTGGCTCTGATGCCTCTAGCTGCGTAATCTGGGGCAACTTTCTTGGTGCCTCGGTTTCCCTTATTTGTAAAATGAAGATAACAGGACTTACCTCCTAGACTTGTCGTGAGGATTAAGTGAAATAACACATGTAAAGCACTTCACACAGTAAGCTTAATTCATGTTATTAATTCAACTTAATTCATGTTATTGGTTATTATTATTATTATTACTCTCTCCTTTATGCTCATGGCACTCCCTGGGTGACAGGCAAAGCAAGGACCACCACCCCCATTTCACAGATGAGGGAACCAAGGCTGAGGGGAGGAGGGGCTTGTCCGAGGTGACAGAGCACTTGGTGGCAGGGCGGGCGGCCAGCCCAGCTCTGCTCCACCCACCCCGCCCTGGTGCCCCCCCGGCTGTACCCTGTAGCTGGACGACGTCCTGGGGGCTGTTCTCAGGGTGCAGCTGCTCGTCGTCCAGTGAGGACCAGGCACTCAGTGTGGCCTCTGTGATGGCAAACTGCTCGGCGACACCTGTGGGAACAGCGGGACCTGGCTCAGCGGGGGCACGGCAGAGGGTGGGGGCGGCCTCAGGGCCAGGACAGGCTGGCACCGGGCCACCTGGAAGTTAGCTGCCCCTCGGGGCTGCCCATCCAGCCCCGGTGATCAGGGTGCCCCCTAATGCCCATCCACCCCGTGCCACTGTTCTTCCTGCCCAGACACTGCCCGCGTGGAGACCCCTGGCCAGTCCCTGTCCCCGAGCTCCTCCTCCCCTGCTAACCTGCAGCAAAACGGGCCTCGCGCAACTCGTCCGGGAGGCAGCAGTACTGCTCGTCCTCGGCTGGGGACAGCTCCCAGCCGGACCGCTGGGCACTCCAGCCCTTCCACTCGATGAGGTGGGCCACACGGCCACGAGCCATGGCCGTGGGCTTCGTGATGTGGTCCTTGATGCTCTGCACCACCCCTGGGGGCAGGGAGGGCAGGTGGGTGACTGCCCTGACATGAGGCCCAGCTCAGGCCCCCACCTCCAGTACCCCAGGTCCCCCAGTGCCTCAGGCCCATCCAATGGCCCGTACCCCACATCCACTGAATGCTCTGTACACAGCCAATGCCTGGGGTCCTCAAAGCCCCATCCCCACAATGCCCTGTACCTACCCAATTCCTCGTGCCCAGCCAGTGTCTTGGGCCCGGCCCCTGCCCCACGCCCTCCCCAAGCCCTAAAGCCCCACCTCACTTAGAAGTTCCCCACCCACTTGCAGACCCCATACCTCCCAGTGTCCTGCTCCCAGTCAATGTTCCTGCCCACTTGTGCTTCTTCCCCAGACCTGCCACATTCCCTTTCCAACCAAGTTCAGACCCTTCTGCTCAAGGAGATCTGCTCAAGGATCTACTCAAAATCCGCCCGGCTCTCCCCTTTCTCCATTAACTAACAACCTCTGAGAGAGCATTCCCTGTACATCTGCCAGTGCCAGCTATGCTGAGGGTGAGACCTGAGTGGGGTGCAGCAGGCAGGGAAGGCTTCCTGGAAGAGGTGGACTGGAGTTGGGCTTTGAAAGTGGGTTGGGCTGGACAGATAGACGCAAGACTGGAGGCTATTTCAGAGATGAGAAGAGGAGGAGGGCATGGAAGGGTCTGGCATGATTCCAGGACTACTGGGGGCGAGACATAGAGCAACACTAGGACTGGGGTGGCAGAGATGGCTGGGGGGCCCATCAGGGGCCAGATTGGGGGCTGAGAGAGCCAGGCCAAGGGTGCTGATGTTCTCTTTATAGCAACGGGGAGCCACAGCAGGGTAATGAGCAGGAGAGTGACAGGTTAGATCTGTTGTCTAGGAAGAGCGTCCTAATTAGGGGATTTGGGGCCAAGGGCAGAGACGGGGGGCATTAGGGGCCATAGAAGGGACTCAGCAAGAGACAGGACAGGGGCTGGGCAGGTGGGAGGAGGGCCTGGAGGGGTTCCTAGGAGTAGACCCATTGGATGTGGAAGTTGACAGAGAGAAGGCGTCAAGAATGATTCAGCATCTCTTTTAACCAAGGCTATGAACACAGATCTGGGAGTCACTGGGGGCCCTGAGGCCGACGTGAGGAACAGCAATACTTAAGAAAGACCAGGTAGCCACAAAGGAAACTGGAGACGTAAATCTCTGGGAAAATGGGAAAGATGGAGGTGAGAAAGAAGGGGGACAACCCCTCCCCAGCTGCAAGCTGCGGAGTGTTGGCAATCAGAGAAGGTGGGTCAGGGGGCCCCAGAAGGACAGGTGAGGCAGAGGAAACAGCACCAGTGAATGTGGGGAAGGCGGCAAGGGCCCTCTGGGGAGTTGGGAGGGACTTAATGAAATGTGATGCTGTGGTGGCCCGCCAACACCCCTTTACTGGCCTGAGTGTCCCTTCTTCCCCCCCACCGATGCTCACACCTGCACCCTCTCTGGAAACTTGTCTTTAGCTGACGGGAGTTGTGTCACCCAGAGATGCCCGGGAGGTGGGAGGGACCTCACCAGGGACAGCCAACACCTGACCAATGGGGGAATAATATAAAGTCAGCCACCTCGCCTCACAGTGCCATAAATTCTGGGGTGCGATTCGTGCTGCAGAGCTCCCTGTGGGGTCAGGCTGAGAAAGACGAGACTTCTCCTGAAGCGCCATCTTTGCTGAACTCCTTCCCCGCCCCCTGTCCTGCTGCCCTCACTCCGACAGGTTGCCCTTGAGAATAATCCCTCAATAGATTACTCGCACAATTCCTGTCTCGGGGGCTCTGCTTGTGGGAACCCAACCCAAGGGGGTCTGATGAGCAGATTTCACCTGCTGCAGAGAGGCAGGGAGACCACCCCAAGCAGACTTCTGAAAACTTGGGTCAACCCCTTCAGAGCTTCTGGAGAACCCAACAATCTAACCCCTGGGGGCAGGAACCCTAAGTCGCTGCTCCCTGAAGAATCCAGCACGGAGCCTGGCACTCAGGAAATGTTGAATCCAACAGGGCTGCAATCCTTCCAGAAGCAATTCAGCTTAGCCCTTCCTACAGCCAGTGTCTGGGGTGGACTGTGTAAATTCCAAGGGCAGGAGAGGGCAGCTGGAGCCTACCCACGAGGGACGAGGTGGCCAGGGCCGCCACGTTGTAGTTGCTGGAGTAGGATCCGGAGTCGGACACGTAGCCATTGGTGGTCTGAAAGCACCTCTGTAGGAAGGAGAGGAGGGGTGAGCAGGGTAGGGCAGACCTGCCAGACAACATCCCCCCCGACTACCATCCCCGTTCCCCACCCTCCCCAGGTCCTCTGGGCAGTGGGCAGGGCCAGGGGGATCATGCCCACTCCCACAGGACCATCCCCACCCCACCGTTTTCATCAGGCCCCCGTCCCCCAGGGCTGGCAGGACTGCGTGCCCAGGCTGGGCCCAGCAGAGGGAGGGGCAACGGTGTCAGCTGTGGCCGGCTAGAGTGGGGGACGGGCAAGTGCACTGACCTGCCAAGGATCCCAACAGAAATCCATCTGTTTGTCCTAAAACAAGAGGAGAAAGAGGGTCAGGCAGGGCCTGGCACACTGTGCCAGCAGATGGCACCAGTCCCGGAGCCCTGGGTGGTGGCGTGGGTCAGCCTTCTGGTGCTCCCTGAGGTCGGGGTCTGCCTGCTCATGGGTCGTGCCCTGGTGTCCCGGCATGCAAAGGAAGAAGCGGGAGAAGGGGCAATGGTGGCTCTTCCAGGAGAGGCAGCGGGTGCAGGAGGTCGAGCAGACCTGGGTTCGAGTTTTGACTTTGCCATCTCTACCTGGGTGTCCTTAGACTAATGACTTAACATCTCAGAACATGAGTTTCTTCCTCTGTAAAATGGTGACAATGCCATTTACTTCACAGGCTGTGCTGAAGCATAAATGACACAATGTAGGCAAAGTGCCTAGCACAAGGCTTAGCCTGTGGTAAGTGCTCAAAACAAAATAAAACAAAACAAAAAAAGGTAATTATATCAACTGGTAGGTTCAAGCCACAACCCCTGGGGCCAGGGTAGAAATTATGCATGAGGATTTGAGGCTGCTAGCAAGATCTTCGTATTCTATCTGGACTGAGAACTCCATTCCTTTTACTCTCCAGCAGGCAGTGCAGGCTGCTAAGGAGTCGCGGGCTGGTAACAGAACTTGTTATCTGCAAGGCTGAGTTAACTTGGGTGAGAAGATCTTCAGAGTGGGACTCTCTTTTCCAAACGAGTCTGGATGCCCAGCCCAGTTCAGACCTTCATCCAGCTGAATACCAAATCTTAGGGGCCCTGATCCCACAGGAAGTAGCCAAGGGCTGTAGGGCCAGCCCAGGAAGCAGGGCATGGGGGCGGGGTGAAGGTAGGGGAGAGGCTACCTTGCCAGTGACGCGGTCTGGCGCAGTGGTGGGTGGGCAGCTGGAGGGCAAGTCTGGGTTCAGGGGATCCGTGCCCTGGGGCATGGGGCAGTCCTTGTGGGCACTTGTGAACAGATCTGGAAATAAGAAAGACAGAAGGAACTTAGAAAAGCCCAGCGGACTCCTGCTTACAAAGCTTGTTCAAGCCAGCCCTGAGAGATGAGCAATACTTTATCATCACCCACTGTCATTTTGTAGAAAACAGATTCAAGGCCACAGCAGGTGAGGAGTCCAGCCAGACCTCCTCCTGCCTGGTGCCCTCAGTGGGAATTACTTGCCCATCTACTGGTACTCCATCGTCACTAATTCTAGTGCCCACACTCCAGCATTCTTTTGACCCCACGGAGACCTCCAATCCATTTATCCACTTTCCACTAGCTCCTCTTGTCCTCACTTTCCTCCCAGCCCAGCGAAGACTCCCTGGCATGTCTGAGGAGCTCTCCTTTGCAGACGCCCCTAACTCTCTCAATCCTCTACCTGCTCCGTGCCTGGACCCCAGGAGCTGCATGTTGCTGGAGAGTCACCAGCCTCAGGTTCAGTTTGTGCCCGCCGGCCTCTCACAGGACACTGCCCATGGATCCTTTATGTTTCTCCAATTCCTGCTAAGTTTGCTTCCCACCAGGTTGACCACCTCACTCATCTTTCCTTCTCAAACCTCCAGCACTGGCACCCACCTCCCTGCACCCTGCTGCTGGCTTCTCCTCATCCCTCACTGAGATCCAGAAGCCTTCGGAAGGCATCACTCATTCTTTCCACCTCAAATCATTGCCCCGCCTGCATTTCTGCCCACATCACCTGCTTTCCCTCCTGTGACAAAGGAAGAACTGTCCCGCTCCATCCAGGACCAGCCCCTCCACCCTGGAGCTGGGTCCCACCCCTGCCCTCCACCCAGGGCTCTGCTCTCTCTCCGTTGTCGTCTGTTTCCCTCTATGCCGAATCGGTCCATCAGTGTGGCATGGCTGCCATGCCTCTTCCACTCGGAACTCTAGCCTGCAATCCCTCTCCTCTCTCCTGCCTCGTCAAGTCCCCTCGCCACTGGGTCAGTGCCCAGCATCCAAGAAGCCCAAGAATCTCCCACCCTTCTCCCAATCTCTGCTTCCCTCCAGCTCCTTGCCCATTCCTCTGCCCTCTTCATGGCCAGACTTAGAGAGTTGTGTCCGACCTCTACTTCCTGGTCCCCCGTTTTCTCCTCCACCCCCTCCAGGCAGCCTTTCATGAGACAGTCCTGGCAAGTGGTTAGAAACCTCCATGGGGCCACGCCCAGCGGTGACTTCTCTAGCCTCATCTTCTTTGGCCTCTCAACAGCACATGACATCACCCATCTCTCCTTCCCCCTCGAGTCACGCCCTTCTCCTGGCTCCCCTCCCTCCTTGCTGGCTGCTCTTCTCTGTCCTCCTTCCCCACTCAACCCTCAAGTGTTGGCCTGCCCATGGCTCCATCCTGGGCCCCTTCTCACCTCCCTTCGCTCTCTCCCAGGAGATGTCATCCGTCTGCGGCTGACACCCACATTTACACCTCTAGCCCTGACTCTGCTTGAGCTCCTGACTGCATTTCCAGCCCCCTACGTGGACGTCCAACAGGCATCTCACACAAACCCAGGGAAAATGGAACTTGCAGACTTCCTCCACATCCTCAATTTTAGAAAATGATGCAACCATTCACCCACCTTACCAACTGAAAATCCAGGAGTTGCCTTGGAGTCTTACCTCCCCCCATTCTCCCCCAAATCCATCTAGTCAACAAGCAAGTCCTACTGGCTCTCTCTCCAACCTCCATTCCAGAGTTATCCCTCTCCATCCCCACCACTGCACCCCTAGTGGGAACCACCATCCCCTCCCCCTGGGATGGCAAGAGCCTCCTGCTTCCCCTCCTGGCCCTCTGTCCACTCTCTACCCAGCAGCACAGGGATGTTATATTCCAGGTCAGACTGTGTCTTTGCTTAAAACCTGCCACTGGCTTCCTTCCATAGGGGAAGAGCCAGCCCCTCACCACGGCCTTCAGGGCCCTGCCGCCAGCTCGCCCACTCCCCACCTCAGTCCTCCACCTCCCCCTCGCTCACCGTTTCGGCCACTCTGGCCTCCTTGCTGTTCCTTTAATGCCCAAGCTTGTTCTTTATCCTTGCTGTCCCCTCTGCCTGGAACATTCTTTCCCCAGTTCTTCCTGAACCTCATCATTCAGGTCTCAGCTCAAGGTCACCTCCTCAGAGAGGCCTTCCCTGGCCACCCGATGCAACGTGGGCTTCCCTGTCCCCACGCCAGCCACCAGTCTAGTCCCTGTCACAGTCATCACTCTCTGATATTTTTGTGTATTTAAGTGTCTGATCCTTCTCCCCACGGTGACTGGAAGCACCTTGAGAACAGAGAGATGGCAGCTGTGCTCAGTGCTCTCTCCAGAGCCTGGAACACTGCCCGGCACTTAGTAGGTGCTCTGTAGATCTTTGCGGAACGATTTATACCTTTATCGCAGCTTTTAGCACAGGGCGTCTGACTGGTAAAACTACTTATGTGCGGGAGGGCGGGGTCAGTCCTGTCACTGATGCATCCTCGGTGTCTCCCACATGGTGGGGTCACAGGGGCTGCCGAGGGAATGAAGAAATGGAACTGAACAACTTGAATCGCTGCCCTGGATTCCTGGGCTGAACTGAAGAGGACTCTCCACTCACACAGGGTAACTGGGGACACCCTTCTCACTCATTTGATTGATGCATGTATTTACTCTCTAATGCATTCAAAAGGATCAGCTGAGCACCTGCTATGAGTCAGGTGCTGTTCTGGGGACACGGTGGCGCACAAGACAGGATGGTCTCTGCCCTGGTGGAGCTGACATTCTAGTGGGGGAGACAGACCATTAACCAGAAACTCGCAAATGCGTAAGATCCATTCAATGACCATGACAGCTGTGAAGGAGAAAAGGGGGGAGAGCGGGCCTGGGGGCTCTGGAGAGGGCTTCTCAGAGCTGAGGCCTGAGTATCAAGAAAAGCCAGGTATGTGAAGACCCGGGTGATGATCATTCATTCATTCATCCATCCATCCATGCATCCATTCATTTCTTCTCCCACTGAGCATCCATCTACTGCATGTCTACACTGTGCAGGCACTTGGGGACAGAGGTGGGATTAAGACTCCATCCCTGCTCACAGGGAGCTCCCAGTCAGATGGAGGAAACCAGCCCCAAAGGCCCGCATCAAACACAAGGCTGCCCCGGCGAACAGCAGAACCGAGGAGCACCCTTCTTTCTAGATCCCCTTTCCGAGTGTGATGGCCCCCAATCCTCACATTGACCTAGAGAGGAAGGAGGCTATGGCTCAACTTTACAGATGAGGAAACTGAGGCACAGACGGGGAAGTCGCTAGCCCAAGGCACACAGCCAGGAACCAGCAGTTCTGAGGCCTGTTGGTCTGCCACTGAGGCTCACTTTTCCGAAGCACGAAAGGAGTCTGTGAAGAGATCTGGTGGGAGTTGGGGCTGCGCAGGAGAGCTGATGCGGGGTGTCAGCCAGGAGGGGGTGCCGGGAGGAAGGCGTTCTGGGTGGGGGCACAAAGCCGTGGAGTCTGGAAGGCAGCCATGAGCAGCAGGGGTGTCTGGGCCGTGCCAGGGAGGGGCGGCCTCTGCAGGACACCAGCCTGCAGCCTGTCCTGCCCTGGGTGCTGGCTTCCACCATCTTTTTCCGGCTTGGGCCAGCCGGGCAGAGCTGGATGAGCTGATGGCTCGGAAGCAGACAGGGCTTCCTGGAGGAAGCTGAGGCCAGGGGAGTCTGAGGGCTGGAGAGGGGAGGCGGCAGGCAACCCCAGAGGCAGGGCTGGGCGCTGACGGGCAGTGGGGAGTGGGCTGACTGGGGGCTAGGAGACTTGTGGGGGTGTTAACAGGGAGGGGAAGAGCCGGGCGCTGGAGGATAGTGTGGGTGCTCCACCCAGGCCCCCAGATCCCTTGGGATCCCTTTCTCTGCTTTCTGTGCACCCACAGCCCTCCCCATGTGCTTCACTTCCAACAGGCAGCACCTGTGGCTCTTTCTAGGCAGGCTGCCCTCGGGAAACCACCTGAGAATTGATGTTGCCCCCACCCAAGTGGCCCTTAGCCGATGACCAGCAGGTGCGGGACGCCAGCTCCTTTGTTTGGGGTCAGAAAACTCTGAGCTTAACTTTCAATCTAGATCCCCAGTGGGACCAGGCTGAGGCCTCCCCCTGAAGGACGACACCCTGTCTGGGCTCCGGCTCCTCTGTCCTGCTCTCCCTGTTCCTTCTCTGGTTTCCTCTGGAAGATTTCCTTCATATACCAGCTGTGCCCAAATCCTCATTTCAGGGTCTTCTCCGGAGGAACTGCTCCAAAGACGCTCAGTTCAAACCCCAGCTCCACCCTTTGCTGCCGGTGGGACCTGCGCCTCTCCGAGCCTCCATCTTCCTCATCCGTAGAATGGGCAGTTGAGGGAGACTGTTCTTGTTCTTCGGGAATTGACTACTAGGATCCAAAACTGAGAACAAAGAGGCACTGAGGGCCCCACATTTTGAAGAAAGCCCCTGTCAAGGGGTGGGGGTAGCAGACGCCCTCTTCAAGGTGGCTGAAGCAGGCTCTGCTAGCCCACCATCAACCACGCTCTAACTACTGATTTCTTCCCACAAGCGAAATGCGGGGGCTCCCAGAAGCTCACTTGCAGAAATTTGGGATGCCTGCAAAGGAGAGGCCAGGACCTCACCCACCCACCCCACCCTCATTTGGACGTCTGCATAACTGGGGAGAGATGGCTGCGTGGCTGGGGCGGGGCCGGGAGGGGGCGGTGGAGCAGCCTGCCCTCCCACCTCCGGCATGGCAAGGATTGTGAGTTTTCAAGGATCAAGGGGACACTGAGGAAGGGGTGATGTTTGAGTCTTGCTGGTGCCCCCTAAGAGGGCCGCTTGCAGGCAAGAGGACCCCAGCCCCAAGAGGCTGGAGGGTGGACCATGTTGGGGGAAAAGGGAGTTGGGTAGGGAATGGCAGAGGTCAAACCAGGTCAGATCTCCCACGACAGGGGCTCTGCGGTGGGGAGGCTCCCCAAACAGGTCCCTGGAGAACTCACACATGCTAACTGGGGAGACCCTTGACCC